ACTTGATTTTTTTTTCTGTCTCTGTGGTTGTGAGTGGACAGATCCTAGAAGTACAGGTTGCCCAGAGAAGCTGTGGATGCCCCATCCCTGGAAGTGCTCAAGGTCAGGCTGGCTGGGGCCCAGGGCAGCCTGGTCTGGTGGGAGGTGTTCCTCCCCATGGCATGGATGTTCTTTGTGGTCCCTTCCAATCCAAACCACCCAGTGATCCTCCTCCTCAACTGAGGGCTGCACTCAGATGATCAATGGCCTGGAGCACGATTCTTTCCCACTCAGTTTTTTTAGGATTGATTCCCAATGGCTTCACTTCAAACAGTAACATCACCGCACACCCCATCCCCTTTAACAAACAAGCCCAAAGGCCAGTCCTAATGAAGCTCCAGCTCTGGTTGCTCCAGGTCCCATAACTGCAGGAGGCTCATGCTAATTCAGTGGGGATGTACAGCAGGTCATCTACCAGAGCTGTGTATGCGTGGCTCCTTTCCCAGGGCATATCTGTGTGCACTAATGAACAAAGTCCCTTAACATTTCCTTATTCTTAGGCCATGGGTGTGCCCAACCCTGCTGTTGCTGCCAGGGTCTGCTGGACACATGGCCATTCAGTGCACCCAGACATGTTTTATGGCCCCATGTCTTGTAATGGCAACTCCCCGTCTTCTATACCCAGCACAAGGCTAGGCAGATGTAAACAGCAGTTAGGCAAACGCCTAATTTAAAATGCTAATACATGGAAACATCATATCAGGGACTAAAATTCTAGCTGAACTCACAGAGGTAGAGAAAGGAAGCTATTCAGGCTGTGAAGATAACGCAACAGTATCACCTACCTGACCACGCTGCCACTTCTGCTCTTTGTCAACCACCAGCTAACCACACAGCATTAACACTCCTATGTGGTTTGCAGAATAGATATTTTAGTAATATAGTTACCAGAAGCTTGTGTCCATTCTAGAATGTTTGGTCAACTATTTACTGAAGCCATGCAATTTTGTTCATCTGCTTTGGTCTGGACATTTATGTCTCACCTGTATCCTTCCTGAGAGCACAACCTGTTTTCTAAGGAGACTGTGATACAGCTCTGCAAGATGAAAGAAAAAAACAAAACACAAATAAATGAGACTACATGAACCCAGCAATTAAGAATAAAGCTTCAAACTTTATTCATTGACTTGAGTACAACAGTGATGCAGATTACAGTGGCACAGGAGTGCAGTATGTGCTGTTTGCAGTATGACAGTTGAAACAGTAATTGTACAGAACAGCAACCCAGCTCAACTGTTCATTATGCATACAAGCAGACTTACAAGACATCGACTCATTTTTACAGGGAGACTCACAGAGAGCTGTCTCACAGATGAGTGGGAAACACAGGGACACCTCCCTGGAACGCTGGTTTGTTTGACATGCAGAGGGAGGAGAAAAGAAAAAATTAAAAACAAAATCCTATCACCAAAATCTACTCTTTTAAAAATAAAATATACCTCTGAAAAAAATTAGTTTCGGTTTCCAAAGCTTAAAAAAAAGTCCCAGATGTAAGGCCCTCTTACAGGAAGAGTTATCAGCAATGACCTAGTCGCACTGCCTGGACAAGACAGACCCAATGGTGATACTCTGAGACTCTTCTGGTCTCGACAGATGAAAAGAGCCTGCCTGCTCCCAAATGTGCAGACATCAGTGAGAGAATCCACTGACCGCAGTGGGTTTGCACTGGGGGACCTGTCAGAGCGCCCACGGGAGCCAGGCACAGCCCGGTAAGGCACCGCTGGGATTTGCTTCTGCTTCTTCAAGACTTTCTACACTTCATTTCCTAATGCCTAGGAGCAAGGTCCTGTGGGCTTCAGCCTTACAAGTCCTGGGAGAAGCACTCATATTAACTACAGTGATTTCTGGCATACCAGGTTACGGCTTGCCTTCAGTCATTTCTTTTTACCTCAAAAGAAGGATCACGGTGCACGTGGAAGGAGCACCTCTTCACGTGGACAAGCATTTTTGAGGAAATCATTAGCAGAAATCTATTTCCCTGTTAGAAGCCCTTTGGGCAACAAATAATTTATTTTGCATACAGGCAAACAACATTAATGGCCAATTAGATTCCCACTTCCTGCACTGATGCTCGCATTAAAATTAATAACACTTATTCCCTCTATGCAACTGCCAGCATCACATAGCTCCTGCCAGCAGAGTTGCCTCACTAAAATCTCAGCATCTTTGCATTGTAACAGATTTTTTGTTTTCTACTTTATCAAGCACAAAATAGTTGTGTGGGAGAAGTCAGAAGAAAAACTCACCAGCAAGAATGGTCCTGCGACCCACAGCGATAAGAGTGTTTCTACACTAAGAGAAAGGCTCTTCATTCCATAGCAGTGGTGTAAAATCATACCATGTGTTGGCAAGATCACTCCTTCCACATCTACACATTACGACTATGCTGGACTCCAGCAGATACGTTGGCAAAGAACTGGACCATGACCTGGGCCTAAGCAAATGTGAAAGGGGGTTGTGGGACCAAGCCTCAAGAGTCTGCTGGGAAATGGCTGGTATTTCAGCACAGATCAGCAGATTTTTTCGCTTCCTGCATGTTTTATGCATTGTTATTATCATTGACTTGAGCAAAGATGCTCATAATCTACAGGTGCTCCAAACTTGACTTCTCCACAGTCTGAAATAGGTAATACAAACTGGCATGCATTTCTTCTAAGTCTGCTAAACACCACTCCAGTAAACTCTGGAGCAATCAAGCTTGGACCAGATGATCATACAATCAGAGTTGTTTGAGTTGGAAGGGACCTTTAAAGGTCACCTGGTCCAACTTCTCTGCAATGAACTGGGGCATCTACAGCTCCATCAGGTGCTCAGTGCCTGGTCCAGCCTCACCTGAAATGTCTCCAGGGATGAGGATCCATCACCTCCCTGGGCAACCTGTTCCAGTGCTTCACCACCCTTACTGTAAAAAACTTCCTTAAACCCAATCTAAACCTCCCCTCTTTTACTTTGAAACTCTGGTCCTGTCACAACAGACCCTGCTAAAGACTCTGTCCCCTCCTTCAGGTACTGAAAGGCTGCTCCCAGGCCTCCCCAGAGACAGTTCCAGCTCTCTCAGCCTGTCCTTGCAGGGGAGGTGTTTGCCTTGGATCACTTTATGGCCCTCCTCTGGATGTGCTCCAACAGGTCCATATCTCTCCTGTACTGAGGACTCCACATGTGGACACAGTGTTCCAGGTGACGTCTCACCAGTGCAGAGTGCAGGGGAAGGACCACCACCCTTGACCTGCTGCTTATCCTTGTGAATCCCTTCCTACTTGGGATATTCTATGATTCTATAGTTATTCCACCTGTCCTCCTCCAGAACTTCATACATCTCCATGCACTGATATTACCTGACATGGCAGTGACACTCCAGGAGCAGCAATGGCTTGCAGAAAGGGATTTCATTTCAAAACATGTCTAGTTTCAGACTAATTGCAGCAAGGGAGAGCTTGGGCACTTCAGTGCTAGGTGCAGACAGACTTGGGGCCAGACAAGTTGGTAAGGCGAGTTGACATCTGTCTTGACAGGACTAATAGCATTACTGGAACCACAGAGCTCTCTTGCCTCCACATGCAGCTATTAAGAAACTTCCTGTTTTCCTAGTCTAACCTTTCACAGCACACTGCAGCTATGTGCACGATGCATCACAAACTATGTTTAATGAAAGGCTACTAACCAAACTGAGAACAGAAATATGTTTCTGAGAGTTATGCCACTAAAATGTCTCCTAAATGACACCAGCGTGAAATGGTAACAAAAAGAAAATCACAAAGTTCTGTGAGTGAGCTTCACGAGAAATTACTGTTCCAGTTGTACAGAAAGTTTAGGATCCCAGTTTAGGATCCCAAAGAAACTTGGGATGGGACACTGTCAAAGTTGAGATGCTAACATTCAACTCCCTAAACAGAGGCCACAATAGATCATGTAATTTCATTGAGAAACAGTGGACAGTTTAGTAATTTCTAAATCTGCTTTCTCAACTGGGAAAGTGACCTTGCCTCCTGCACACTCCATACGTCACAGAACAAGGCATCTGTAAGTGACAGCCTTCATTTCAGACTTACGGCTGCCTATTTAACACAACTAGTTGGAAATTCCAGGTTAACTTCTTGCACAGCATCTCAACTGCATCTGTATATAATTCAGTTTTGCACACGTGTGATTATTTTGTAATTCCATCCTGCACACCTATTTTTACAGGTCTTTGCTCATCATTCTTAAAGCAGAAGGGGAAAAAACAAGCGATAACCAGTTTTCGGTCCTCTCAGCAGAGACTGTTGACAGCACTGTTTGATAGGACTTCATCAGAAGCTCAGATGCTTTGCAGGAGACAGAAGTACTTGAGTGTGTACTTAAGGCATATTCTTACACACTTAAGTATTTACTGAATTATTTAAAGTCTAGTTACAAAGCTCTATGTTAGATTACAGTATTCAAATTTATCAGCCACAAGGGAACATTGAGAGGGGAATTACAAAGAATCATCTAACAGTGCAGAGCTGCCCAACAAACAATACACTACTGGATTGATACTAGGAAAATGATTCACTGATTACAAAGACAATTCTCCCCAGGGCTGCATTTCCTTTTTATTAGGTGGGAAGAGCAGATTAAAGTTGGGAAAGTGCTGCAGTGACAACTGCTAAGAGCCCACTGCAAAACACATGCTGGCTGGCTGCAGTGTATTCAGGGTGTGAGATCTTTGGGGTGCGTCTGCTTATAGGTGGCTGGGATAGTTAACAGGAACTAAGCATAGGCATGACACTAATGCTCAGAAAACCCTCATGGTCTCAATCAGAAATAAAGCACTGACTATGCTCCACACCAGCAAGATATGAACCAGCACCAGCCCAAAAATCCACTTAGGAGATTAATTGTATCTGCAGCATCTAAGCTGGCTTCTCTTCATTCCTACCCATGCTGCAACTGCAACTTTAAATTCTCAGCTGATAAGGCAGACACAAATTATCTTGTCATTTTTCAAAGGCTGGAGGAATGGGTTCTTTTCTTTTTTTCTCTTTTGGCTTTTTTTTGAGGGGAGAGAGAAGACAACCTGCCTTAGTCATCTCTGAAATGACTGGGTAGATATTCACATACACTGTTCAACAACCTAAAGCTGAGGGCTGGCAGCTCACATCTGTGACAGCAGTCTTTGTATCAGAAAGGTCTGTTGTCAAGGTGACCTGAGATACCTACAAAGCCCACTGTGTTTGGGTGGCAGCAGCGCAGCATCACCAATAGGATACGGATTGGTAAAGTTTAGAGAATTTTAATACTTTAAATGATCAAATCCAAGTGTTCTTCTCAACATAAGGCCACAATTTGCAGGTAACATACACTGAATTTTGGAGACTAGTGCTCACAAAGCTTATGACTGTAAAATGGATGAGGTTTCAGCTATCACTCAAAAATGCATCTCTAACTGCCAGTGCTCCTCGCTCCCATTTGTTTCTCAGTGTTCCTCTAAAGCCATTTCAGATGCTTGTTCTGAAAAACGAAGTAAAAAATGTTGAACTGATCCTTGCTGTAATCTCAGTGAAGTCCAGATAGCCAAGCCACACTCAGCTGCATAGTACAGTGTTCAGTGGGGACCTGTGTTCAGTGGGGACAATGCTGCCAGGTCTGCATGTGAGAACATTCTCAATCACACCCCTTGGACCCACCATTCACTTAGCTCCAGAGCATGGAGCACATGAACCACAGTGACCTGCTCTAGCAGGACCACCTATACCAGCAAAGATGGGGCAGGATTGGGCAGTCCTGCACATTCCATGGTGAAATGCCATTTGGTGACATACAGAACTCAACACAGTGGTAGTGAACCTCACAACTACGTGGGACTGTTTCCTCTTCCTGACTTCCAGATTTTAACTCTAATGTCTAATGTAACAGAAAATACAAAGGTTCTGACGTCTCCAGTGCCAAAAGTTTCTGCATTAAGAATGAAACCTTGATATTCTTTGACAGACACAGAACCTAAATGACTTTCTCCAATACTAGGAGATGGTCATTAGTGCAGTTTGCATTGGCAGTTAAGCATCAAGAAGAGAAAAAGCTGATGCTGCAGCCACAATGCATTCATTCAGTTACTTTGGTGCTCATGTCCTTCTCTGTATAGGACCTGCCCAGAAGCAGTTAAGATATATATATATATATATATATAGGCAGTTATTTTTCAAGCTGCAATATAGTGGAAGAAGACTGAAAGCAATAAAAAGTTCAACGCAGCTCAGAAACCACCTTGCATGATTTCTCTGTCTTCATAAACCAAGTCAGGCACAAAGGGAAATAAAAATAACCAAGGCTGGAGCTTTGAAGCTTCAAGAGAGGAAAAAAAAAAAGATACTGCACCTTCCTTCCCAAGCAGAAGTGAAAAACTACTTTAACTAAAAAGGGATGCTTGGCCCCATGCACTGTGCCATACTGACAACAGCAACTGCAATTTAATCAGATAGTCTCTATTGGCAGAGCACGGCACCTTGGTGGTACCTTTCAATTCATAAACATTCCTCCTAAAAAGGGATGATAATTTATGTTGACTCGCAGAGAACCACCTTCCCTGCTGATGTAAAATCCACTGCAGTCTAAGGAGCTGTACCTAGTAATTAATTACTAGAAAGGAGTCTGTCCAAAATCTCTGGGTGTGAACCAGGGCACACTTAAAAAAGCATTTTCTCACTCTATCATTCCCACCTTCAGCTACCCATCTGTTGGACTAAATTACAAGAAAACTGACTCTTCTCCATCATTCCCATTACTCAGGTGATCTTACATTATTTGACTGGTTAAGCTCCAGCCTTATTAATTCAAGCAGAAAGTGTGGAAGAGGGAAGACCGACAACAGACACAGCAATTCACTTCCTACATCCTAGCAAATATATACAAGTACAAGGAGTCTGCTTTCTGAGAATTCAACTGGTATGCATGTAGGTGAGCAAAGTGCCCACCTCTGCAGATAGTATCACACAAAGATGCAGTTTCAAAAGACTGCCGGTGAAGAAACAGTTGTGTGAAAGACTGGACGTGACCATATGGATGTGTTACAAAGGGCTTCTCCTTCACTATGGAGTATCTGTCTTTCTCTCCATATATACACATATATACACATACATACACAGATGAGTAGATATAAATACATGTGCGCACACACACAAACACACATACATATATATATATTATATATATATATATTTTTTTTTCTTTTCCAGTTCTTGGAGTGGTTACAACTACTTTAGTCTACAAGGCATCCTAAGGGCACTTCCTGGCTCTAGCAATAAAGTTCCATCTTGTTATGGAGAGAAGTAAAGGGAATATCACTGAGGGAGAAGAAAAGTTTCCTATCTTGTATATTTATCATGTAAAAGGCCGACACCTCTGAAAATTATCATTGTTGTTTCTGAGCCCAGATATTTTCTCCCTGTGTTGCAGGAGGGCAAAGGTTCATCTTGTTCAACTGCTGTGTGTAGAGGTGCCACTATGCGGTTTTCCCTTTTTAATGGGTAAGTGGATGCTTCCAAATAGTTTGGATTGCAGGATACAACATCCTACACGTCATTTTTAGTTGTTTGTTTAAAGGGAGATTAAAAGAGTTTTGCTTTTTTCTTCATGTCGTTGCGTCTCCAGAGAGGTAACTTGTCAAACTCCTGTATCGTCATGCCAAATATCTCTTGGAAAACTTCAGGTGCTAAGTGACGCTTTAAAAAAAGAAAAAAAAAGAGGGGGGGAAGAAAAGGCAATGGTCAGTCAAAGCTGAAAAAGATGCAATGGGAGACAGGAGTGCCTTAAGGGATTTCATGTCACTCTAGATGCCACTGCAAGATCTAGCGATAGAAGCTTGATGAAATACCAAAACACGTATCCAAGTTGTAATAAACCTGGATTCTCAGTGCACCAATAACATTTTGCTGTTTGTAACCTCGTCTGAAAGGTTACAAAGGGGATCAGAAGAACTATTTCAGTTGATGAATGAGCAAGACAGAATAAACAAGTTGTCTGAAGTTGCCCAACATGCAGTGATAGATAACAGAAAAGAAATAGCACTTGCATGCCCCTCTCCAGGCTTTAACTAGTCATCTCTGTTCACACAGAGAAGTGCAGGCTCTGGGTTTAGGTGAGCTTTGTTGAAGGGCTGCAGGTTGAACGTGCCACGTTGCAAACTTTGAGAAGAAAGACATCTGGCCAGACTAACTGCCCAGCACATTTCTCTACCACAACTGAAACATGTCTTGTGTGAGTTATCTCTGTTATTCCTCTGCCCTAGAGTGCACTGGACAGATAAAGTCCCTCCTCCTGGTGTTAACATAACACCACCTTGAATTTCCATTAGCTAGATACATGATTGCTATCTAAAAATGTAAATCAGTGGGTACTCACCCGAGTTGTCATGCCTTCTTTCATGCATCTCCACAAGATTAATTAACTAGAAGTAACCTAAACATCCCCCAGCAAGAAATTTCATTGGGCTGCTTACGTGTAACCCACAGATTGGTGGACAACTTTTATTTGTTAGTAGAGATTTAAATCCTCATGTTTTTGCATAATGAGTCACTCTAACACTTACCAACGAATCAGAGAAAGTTAGACTTTGGATTCTCAAAGGTGGTTGGCACTGGCACTTCACTGAGAAAGGATGCAGGCCCAGACAAAGCTTTGCCCCACTCTGACATGGGTCTTATCACTGTGAAACGCTTGACCAATTTTGGTCTTTTTTACCAATTTGCAAGTATGAAAATAATTGCTTGAAAAACAAGGGGGTTGTGAACAGCTCTGCCCAGGAGCAGGGGGACAGAGGCATTCCTGCTCAGAGATGTGTGACTCCTGGCCTAGCACCACTTGCTGAGAAGCTGCTGCTTCCTCCCCGTCTGATTCCTTCTTCACCATTTACTGCTGAGAAATCTTGTTAGTCTAACAAGGGCCCACACGTTAGTGTTTGAGCTTTCAAGTGTCCAACAACAAACAACTTCAGCAGGAAAAAGCATTTAGGAACTTGCTTCTCTTACCTCCAGCCTGGTTCTGTCTACATCTTTTAGTATTTTATTTCGCCCTCTGTTGGTCACCATGAGTATTTCATATGGAAAAATCTGTTAACAATGTATAAAAAGGGGAAAAAAGAGAGGTATTTACATTTCAAAACAAAAAGAACACAACGTGTCTTAATTTCATAGCCACGCAAACATTCTTTTTCCTTTTCAACGAAAATTACAGCATTTCTTTTTTGAAAGATGCATGAAAGACAGGCCAATCTGGACAAAGCAAGAACTTGTTCAGTATCAATGTCAAACCGCCTCACACATTTGAGGTTCTATGTACACTGATTTTTATAGTGCACATAACATATTAGCTGGCTTTGTTAAGACAGAGTTCTCTCTATTCAATATACTTTCTCATCTAGCAATGTACAAATTTTAGGGATTATTAAGATACGTAGATTTGGCACTCATTGGTCTGGCTGATGGTTGCCAAAACGGACAGCTCTAAGAAAACAAATTCAGAGGACTCTTAAAAATACATGAACATACATCTGACAGTCCATCTGAAGGAACAGTAACTCTGAAAAAGCAAGATATTCATTAGTGGGGGCTACTGCATTCAACAAAATTCATCAAAGGATTTTCTTTGCTTGTTTGGACAGTTAAAGAACATACATACATGGACTAAAGAGATGTTTTTGTATTCATATTCATCTTACACATCTTCATCTGCTTCAGAAGAGTATCTGTCCCGTACATATCCCATTACATTTCCCTTGATTTCCCTCTACGTTTCAAATAACATCCAGAGCTTATACAAATCAGCTACTGCCAACAATTAATTCCTGGATGCATAAATGATTTACTTTTTCTTCTACTCGTACAGGTTCTAAGTTTGAAGTAAAGTGTTTAAAGTCAGTGGGTCTCAGATCAGTTTAATGCAACAGAAACAACGATGCTTAAAAAGGATTTCAGAAAACCATATGGATTACAACCATTCCTGGCAAACAAAACTGTTTTAGCCAGATACTTGCCCACTAAATGAAATCACCAAAACTCTCCTGGACAAGTAGCTTATTTATAATAAAATTCTATTAATTATTTAACAACAGAAGAAATTCCACCAAATCAGGTTCTGGGTAGTACTAAGCAATTAAGTTAATTCCATTGTAAGCGATTACCCCAATGAAATGCAATAAATAAGATTCAGGCACCAATGAACACACCACGGAGTTTATTGTAAGTAATAATAATTTAAGTAATGTGTGCTTACATACCAGCTTTAAGATAGGATTCTTAGGAGACTTTGACATTGTCACAATGGTACAATTAAGTCTATACTTTGAATTACATTGTTTATGTTCAATAGTGGAAATGGCTACCATATACAGTATTAAAGGAAACTGAAATGCAACTCTTCAAAATACTTAAACAGGCAGAGTTTAAGTCAAGGTCTGTGGTCATAAGTACATTTTATATTCAGGTATTCACAGTAAGGTATGTTAGGATGCACAAATTCTGTCCCTTCTGGTGAACCGCTTGGTAAGATTTGGGCTTTCTGAAATTTACTAATTTTCACTTCCCAGGTGTTTCAGGCTGACACTGAGTTGGCTTTTTTCACTTCATAGAATCACAGAATGGCTTGGTTTAGAAGAGACCTTGAAGGTCACCTCGTAGCCACTTGATCAGGTTTAAATTACTGTTGGATCATTGACATGAACAGAACTGCCACTTAGCATAACCTCAGGGACTGGCATAACCTTTTTAAACATCAACAGAAAGCGAACTGTACTCTCATGAACATTCCCACAAATTTTATCATTAGTAGTATGACAGAATTCGTAACCCACCACAAAATTCCAAATAACAGGATGCATTAATGGCAGTGAGGGCTGTAAGAAATGCTATTGCACTGAAAAAAAGAAATCATTTGGAATAAAAAGCATAATCTCAGAAGTCAGGGATGTTCTCAAGGTCTATACTTACATAGTATATAAAAACATTTGTTCACGTACACTGCACTAGGGTCTCAGCTCATAACGCTAAGGTTATTGCCTTCTACAATTTGTCTGGGGGTCACCTGGAAGCACAAGCAGTAACCTGGTTTGCATATAAAGCTCCTCACTTAACTGCAGCAATGCTGATCCTTGCAACTCTGGGAAAACCATGATTTCTCAGAAGGTTCACCAGCCACAGAGAAAGTTGCAAGATTTAGAGCACAGCACTGGCTGAAGCCTTTCTATAGATTATTTTCATTTTTGACTCAGCCACCTCTAGACACAGCAGCAAAAGCATTTTTATTTATACCTTAACTCATATTCAGCTGATATTACCTCTTTTTCCCAACAAATCTCGTAACAAAGTTCTTATATAGGGAACTAAGCATTATATAAGATTTCAGGCACCATTAGCCTCAAACCAGAGATCTGTGTTGAGCCTCAGCCATGTGTTGTGAACCATAATATCCTGCGTCACTTTTCAAACATAACAGATCCAAGACTTTGCAATCAAGTGTGGTCTGCTATTTTGGCTATTGAAAGCTTGACAGAGAACTAGCTATTTACTGAGCCCTTCAGTATCTTCATTGTGTCTCTGAGAAAGCCTGCTCCACCCAAAAGGAGCACACTGACTGCCTTCAGCCGGAGTATGAATACCCAGAATAGGCAAATTCCAGAACAAAGGGAAAGGTTTGGCACAAAGGGAGAAAGGATTGAGATGAGGTAAAGAAGAACAAGGGAACCAAGACATCTCCTGTATTTTATCTGCATTTCACAGTCAAATCTTCATTATCTTGAACGAAAGTGAATAACATCTGCACTTGCCTTTGGCTCCAACATGTTAGGCATAGATACTCCTCTGTCCATTCTCATTCCAGGGACATGACCATCCGGAAGGGACTGCATCAGATACAGGTATACATCAGACACATAGGTTACACACACAGAGGGTAAAGGCACTCAAGAAGTGGTGAAAACAAAGGTGAATTTGCACTGAGACTCCCTTCAAGCCTTATTGCTTACTCTGACCACACAGGACATTGCCATGGTTACTGGCAATCACTTCTCAGAAGCATGTTTTCCTGAGGCATCCTTCCACCCTCTCTACCACTACATTTTCTGACATTACTGGGGCTGGATGGACCTGGGGTCCCTGAGAGAATGGCAGGCCCTTCCCAACCCCAATCATCAAGTAAGGCTCTTATCTGGAACAAATACAGAGAAGCGTAAATTCAGATTCTGCTCAACAGTACACATAAGCAGCCTGTCTGCCCTTCATGTCACTTAGTGTATCAGCCAAGGTGTTGGGTTGGTTTGCTTTTTTTTTTTTTTTGTGTGTGTGTGTGTGTGTGTGTACAGTGGAAAATATTGACTATGAACAAGAACAAGGATAGGGCTGTTGTCAAAAGGTACTGTTTTGACACAGGTTCAATTACATCTTGAATATAATACATGAAGAACTCCTCTCTTCTCCCATAATCTTATTTTCTTTCCATTCATCACAGTTTTGATATATCATTAACAAATACATCCACATCATTAAAACCTTTCTTAAATTGTCACTTCATAATGTGATTGTGCTGAGGGGCCAGCCAGGCTCAAACTATTCTGGAAAAAATCCCTTAGACAGGTTTTGGGATAAAAGGGTTAATTTTTGCAAGCATGTGTCTTAATAGCTCATCTGTGATGGTAGCACTGTAGAAAGATATTGATTAGTCATCTTGTCTGAAGAATAAATTCCAGGGCAAAAAGGCTCCTGGTATGGAAGAAAATTGCCTCCAGAAAATTATTTCAAAGCATCTCTGGGGCTGGTACTAGACAGGCTGGAGATAAATCCACCCTCAGCTGTCCAGAAAGAACTATTGCAGGCAACTCGTATTTGAACAGACAGTGGATTTTATCTCAGACTGGTCTGAGCCTTCTCAACCCAGTTCTGGGGAGGTACAAGGAAGGAGGAATCTGAGACTGTGCCTGTTTTTTATCAATTAAGAGTCTACATTGGTGATTATGCTTAAACATGCAGGTAAATCAAAGTTAATGTCTTAAGAAACCCTTCCCTGTAGCAGAAATTCAGACTTAAAAAGAAAGTGGATGCTTTTAAATCCGTTGTCAGTTGATTGATGAAAACCCGTACTCTACCTGGAAATCTGAAAAACAAAAGAGAAATCTCATCAGCTGCAGAGGGTTGAAGAGGAGATAGACACAGTCTGCCAGATAATCCTTGTGTTTTGTGATCCACTTCATCTACTCAAAATCCCACCTGATTCTATACAGTCAGCAAACCTCCCTACTCTAGGTCTTAGTTTGTGAAGAGCAAAGCACTCCCTACATTGCAGACCACTTCAAGTGTGCTTCTCAGTCTGGAAAACTAAGTCACATTAGAAACATCAGAGGCAGAGAACCATAATAGTTGGCAAATAAATAGCCTACTGATATTCAACTTTTTAGAGCATGATTCACCTGACAACAGGTAGCTCTGTAGGATTCCTTCACAGTCTATAAAGAGACACAAGCAGAAGCTTATGATCTTTAACCATAAAGTATCTAAGACAGAAGGGATCAGTCTCACTTAGAAGGCAAATCTGTCTCTCTCCCTCTCTCTCCCCCCACCACTAAGCTCAAACATATTCAAAATATTAATTCAGAACATATTTCAATTACCTACAGACTATCACCTGCTTCCAATGTGAACAATGCTAAAGCATGCTCTTGGCAAAAACAGGGATGATAGAAGATTTAGCAAAATAAACCCAAACTTTTAAACATGTACTTGCAGAGTTTGAGTGAACTATCAAGTTTGCCCAGAGAAGTTAAAACCACTTAACAAATACAAAGAAAATCCACAATCTTAATAAGAAGCAGCAGAAATGAGCACTCATCGCAATACATTCTCCATATACAATACATAAAAAAGTGGCATGTGAAAATCCTTACCTCTAACCCCACCACTCACGTCCCCATAACTGTTGTACTGACCAAAGTCTGTAGACACCGGCTGTAACAGGAAAAGAGGGACATGCACATAAATGCACAGTTCATGGCTTCACCAGTGGGTTGATACAAGAGAAGTAACAAATTGTTTAAAGCTGTTCTTTCCTCAACTTCCATAAGCTCTCTTGCATTGCTTTCTTGTATTTTTAACACTAAGTTTGTGGGGAGGGAAACAAGGTTTTGCCTGACTTCAGATGATCTTATGAAAAAGATCAATAAAACTTAAAATCCAAAACAGTTACTAGGGAAATAAATACATGAATACCACAGATGATTAAAGTTACTTTTTGAGTCTCAAAACATCCATCTCCTTACCCTGTGAAGTCCATTTTTTCCATAGCCAGGAAGAGAAGAGGTTTTGGAGGCTGAAGCGTGGGCTGTTGAAAAAGAAAGGGAAAAATTGTTTATTGAAACAATCCCATGGAAAAGCAAAAGTAAGAACATTTGAGAAATCAACTTGCAGAAAAAAAATACAGATGAAGAACTAAGGGGAAGCTTAACCAACTGAGATACGCTGATTTCAAGAAGCTAACGTCTCGGTTCCAAACTATCACAACTTTCCATACGCTCTGTAAGTTACATGCAACACAATCATGTCATAGTGCCAGGCTCAGAATCAAAGTGACCTCTACTAAGCTGAAAGTAATGAGAGCAAAATAACTTTCCAGCCTTCAGATAGATAAGAGTATTGCTATATATCTTACAATAATACCAAGAAGGGGATCAAAAGAATCCAAGAAGATTAGCACTGTTTGACTGGATAGGTTTCCTGTTTAGAGTCCTATTGTATTTCACTCTCCTGAAGTGGCACACCTGAGTTACATGTAATCATACCTTCTAAACCTTTAACAAATTTTTTTTCCACTCATCCTATCTTAACTATTATTACATTCATATGCTCAGCTTCTGCTGGTGCACAAGCCAATATACATGAATAGCACACACTGCTCTGTGTTCCTAATTTTTTTGCTATAAGGGAGAAAAGGCTCTTTAAGTCATGTAATACTGCTACTGACAAAGGTTTTGGCCCTGACTTGGCCAGGACAAGGATCAGAACAGACAGTAATGGCTGAATTCAAACAAATCTTAGAACGTGGCAGCCTGATCTGATGTTATAGTCATCTTATACATAACACAACACTTCCTAGAACATGACGGGGTTCAACTCCATGAAATGGGAGTAAAACAAGGCATTAGCCCATCCTTTTCACGGAAGAACAACAGAATACCACTTATACATATCAAGCAATCTCCCAGTGGTGCCTCTGATGGAAAAACACTGAGTATGCATCCATGTGGCATTCATTACTCACAGTTCATTATTAGCTTCATTGCCTAGATGAATTACCTGGAGAATCATAACGACCGGCAGAAAAGGCTGACCTCTCCTTTTCCATCTCTTCCTTCAGTATCAATTGTCCAAGACCAGAATTAAGCTACAGACAGCAATTAAAAATATATGAATAAAATAAAACTGGCAGAGGAATTATAAGTTGCTTACGTAAATAGAAGGGGCAATTTTTGGATGGTGTTTAGAAGCAGTATGAAGATAAGGTTATAATAACCTTCATGAGCTGCTCCTCCTGCAGCTGCCGACGTCTCTGTAGCTCCTCATCATCTTCCTCTCTTCCACTTGACCTGCGTCTCATGTCTGCTCCTGCTCCCATAAAACCACAGTACAGACAGCTTTGTGTATCAGTTCTTTCTCAGTTTGATTTACCGAATAAACAAAGAAGTATTTTCTTTCAAATTCAAAAGACTTATTCAAAACTTGCCCTCCATAAAACTCATTCAGACAGCCTGTCCTATGGCTATCAGGCTTCTTATGAAATCAACAAGAAGCTGAACTGCCCATAGGTTTCCAATCGAGCAACAGTGTTTTTGGTGTCAGGGTTTTGCAAGACTTCAGTAAAACAGAACTCCTATTTTGACAGTGGTGCTCAGTCTAGCTCTGCAGCAAAATATCACACTCAAAAAAACCAAAAAACAACAACAACAAAAAACCCAAGCTGAAAAATCTGAGGGTTGAAGATTTTTCAGTGCTTAATCCCATACAATGTCTTTATTTCTGAATAAAATATGACCATGAATACAAATCTATAGTTTCCAAGAAGTTTGGTTTAGTTTCCCAGGTGTAACTAAATCACCTGAGAGCCAATGTGCAAAGCAGCTTAACTCAAAAAAAAAAACAAAAAACCCAACAAACTAAACCAAAATTGTCATCCACTGCCAGGAATATGAGTTAAGAGCCAACATTTCCAGGAAAGCCTCCACCTCTGACACATGGCATAACAACGCTGTGGTTACAACAAGCACTGTCAGGAGAGTTTCAGGTATACAGATGTTATCACTACACTGTCACACAATTGCCACTGCATACACAGCTCCTTTGACTGATCATTGAGCAATCCCATCCTGCCACCTTTCCTTGCACGTCACAAAAATCCTGTTCCCTTCACATCCCTTCACAGAAACCTGAAGGCAAGGTCTTCAGCACATCTGACATGACTTCATAAACCAACCAGGCTATATAACTTATTCTGTACTACATTTTACAAGGGGGGGAGGAGGGGGGCCAACAAAATCAACAGAAATAACATAATATTAAATAAGTTTTAAAATGAACATGAGCATGACTTAAAATAAGATATTTGCTGAGCAAAAGAAAAATACAGTCTGTAGAAACAGTAACTTTGACAAAATGGGACTTTTTTAGTCCATTTTAGTCCATTATATGCAGTCCTTGGTTCTTGTCATGAAAACAGCCGTGTGGTTGGAAGCAGTGACACTTTCTGTGAATATTTACTATTAGCTTAGGACTAAAAGATCACATAGACAGTAACTGAGAGAAGTCATGCATGTGTGATACAACATACTGTTTTTAAATCACAATATGGGAGTTCACATAAATTTTCTATGGATTAGTATTTGTGTGATTACTTCCAACATCCTTTTTCAGAATCTCCTCTGCTCACTAGCAGTTATAAAGACAGAGAAGTGCAGAGTCTCACCAGAATAACTGCACTCTGGGGCAATCACTTGGAGCAGGCACAATACTCACAACCTCTTCTGGCAGCTACTTTACTGATCAGAACCTTTTAATCCACATCACTTGTAGAATTCTTTTTGCATACCTATGGCTGCAAGGGAGGGAGGACCTGGCCAGTGGTCCGTCTCAATCTTTGGTATCTCGTTGGGTGCTGGTGCATGAGCTGCTGGGAACTTGGAGGACTTGATGATATCCTCGGAGGACTTGCTCTGTGCTGCCAAAGCAGCTGCATCTAGATGGCAATCAGGGAACTTAGCCATGTAATAAGCTATATCAATATAAGAGGTTTCCATATTTTGGCAAGATTTACTGATTTACAAGAAGGACATTTTCAAATCCAAACATTTTCATGTTTTGCCTTTCTAATTGCAATTGGAAACAAAGTAATGCTTTCCTCTTGCCGACAGATTAGAATCAAACCTTCTCATCCCACAAACCCACCCCCAAAATAACCCTAAATCAGCTTTGGGTTTTACTAAGGTTTCAGAGTGTTAAAATGATCAGACAAGAGTGAGAAAATTTAGCCTAACAGTATTTGATGGTATCTCTTAAAGACCACCAATGAAACCAGATTTATGCACTGGTTTGTCTTCTCTCTAGAGTAAGAAAGCAAGCAGATCAGAGGGACAGCATTATTTTTAACTCTACTGATGCTGATTATTTCCTATGCTTCTGTGAAAAGCTGCAGAACAAACAAATAAAGGAACTGTATCTTTCCTGCTGCATGTACTTGATTATGAGCATGCAGTAGCAGTAAAAGGAGATGCCAATTTATTTATTAACTACTAAACTTCATTGAGATCAACTTCGCAGGGACAGCACTTCCAATGAAATGTACCTCATCAATAACATGTATCAGTAGTCGGACATTCATTTAAGATAGCAATCAAAGCCAAAGTCACTTAAAAGGACATGTGAAGATGTGCATTATGGCTTTCACATCTTTACATTAAAAATAATAAAATCCTACAGGATTTAGTTTGCACTAAAAGCAGCCTTAACCATCTCCCCTCTGCAAACTGTTAGTCCAAATCACCTTTCTCTTATATGAAGCCATCATATAAGACAAAAGGATTCTGAATGTACTTCTTGCTTTTGTTTTACGCAGAAAGACATCTGTTAAAGCAATGAAGTACTTTGTTACTCATCCAACACATTCAGGGTACTTCAGGAGAATCAATATTAGAAATCACGGGGAATTTTGAGAATTTTATGATTGAGAAACTACATGTAATTATAGGTATGGAGGAAGCTGGTGAGGGTTTACAAAAGCATGACTTCAAAGAGTACTTACGTACTTACTTATTAGAATTGGTGATGTCAGTGGTTAAACATTCACGTGTTAATGGGAGATGAGGACATTAAAACCATAAAAATAAACAAAAGTAACGTTAAGACTTCTAAAATAAGCATAAGATTTGAGAACTTAAAAAAGAACAAGGAAAGAAACCTGATGTAAAACTACAGTGGTGTTCTTAGCAATATTCACTCCTGTCTACAGAATGGACACCCTGGGCCTTCTTAACCATCTCAGCAAACTGTTCACCCAAGCTCTGTAGTACTGCTAATTTGCTGTTTCACTGGATAAAGAGTCTGCAAAGGGATGAAAGGTCTTTAAGTGGAAGTCACTTTTCTTTCACCACATTACATGCAATTTCCTAATTAAAATTTTCTATTGACAGCTGAAGGAAATAGCAAACACTTAAAGGTTCCTTGCTCTGCACTGTTACAGACCAGCAAAGCAGTTGGCTTCTGCCATCACTGTTATTCCAGACTTGCTAAAACAACATCTGCTCTGAAAAGATTAGAGCTGAGTTGGATACTGTTGTACAAGTCAGAATCTAAACACTGGAACAGCAGATAAGCCACACTCACTACCTGATCAAACCAGAATCAAGAATCAAACCAGCCCTGTCAGTCACCTACATCATTTTCAATATAAAGATTTGCTAGAAGCCAAAGTACATTTGGAATTCCAGTCTGTCAGTAACATCCCCATCATTACTGTCGTTGACATCAGTAATTGTACTTTGTCTGCTTAAAATAAACATAATCCACAAAGTTCCTGACAAAGAATGGACTGCTGTTAATCCGTTTTTTCCATGATCAAAATCTGTATTCTGAAAACATAAACTGAAAGAAGTAAAATACAGGAAGGCATTACAACTCTAAAAAGGTAGCAAAATCCTAGTTAATGGCAATTTTGCTGTTAATAGCAATGTGGCCAAGACTTAAGCCATAAGATTCAAATAAAACAACATGCTTTAAAACATAACCACCCAGCAGGATGTGCAACAAGAACTCTTTAAAGCTTGGATTACTGATTTTTGATGCTTTCAAAGTAAACACTGAATGCTTTTCAGTAGTCTGTGTGTATTTTAGTTGACGCTCCAGATTCGATACAAAAAAAGAAAGATAATTTACCATGTTGCTTGTAGATTGGTGGCTTTCTGTAAATGTTGACACCTTGGTCTGTGAAATGGAGAAACAGAAAAGTGTTAATAGGAGAACTACTTCAGTTATTGGTAAAGGTAACACCAACACTAAAACAGTAGACAGACCAAATTAAGGATGTAGGCCAAGAAAAAGCCAGTGTTACACAGAATCAGATTGCCTGAAGAAAAGAAAACATAAGAACGAGTGACAAGTAGAAGACACGTGGTATGAAGTCCTTTGGAGCGGATTCTGTAGCATGTGGATGCATTCAAATAATGAATAATTCATTTTAAATATTATCAGTGTGACAGACATTGGGAAATGCAAACAAGCAAGACATTTCAGGGGTGAAAAAACAAGCTATTTGGGGAAAAGTACCCCAAGTAACTTTTGTGGAAAATTGTGCTCCAGTCACAACAGCTCAATTTTCTTTCCGGCTGAATGGTTGGATTGAGGAGAATGCAGTGAGCCTACCATTCACTTCAAAAGCCAGAGAACAAAACAGCTGCTCCATACATAGTTTTGAACAGCCAACAGCACCTTGACTTCACAGAGTCAGTGTTAAGGGACATACTGTTCCTCCTCAAACACAAAGACTTAGATACATTTTCATGTAAGGATGACCACACTGCATACTATCAATGTAAGTCAGGAAAAAGTCACTTTTCAGAGCCCTAATGTAAGAAATCTAAAGCATATTCAAAAGATAAAATATTTTTACAATAACGAACTAAGATGGGAGCTACATTGTTCTAAACTACCCACCCACCCCAAACCAGCTCTTCAAGTATTCCACGCAGCCACAAATGCAGAAGTTAATTCAAAATCAGTGCTACAGTGCAAAATTTAAGTCGGTCTTACTGCAAGACCACAATGAGCTACTGGAAACTAAGACATTTGAGTCAAAACCCCATTTTGCTACTATATCATACTGCTTGAAAAAAATAAACTTTTCAGTCATATTAGCATGAAGGAAGAAGAAAATGTTTTAAAAGTACATTTTGTTTATCACAGATCTCATCGAAGTGATACAGGAGACAACTTTTGGCATTAAGGAAAACAATATGTGGGGAAAAAAAAAAGAAAAAAAAAAGTAAAACTATTTTACAGAACCCTATTTCCTGGACTAAATGACAGGGAAATTCCTTGCACACAAATGCACTGAAGTATTTTGTGCTAGTGATCTTCTCACGGCTACTTGAACAGCAAATAGGCACAAAGGCTAAAGGGGAACCAGGCAGCAAGACTTTAGTGCACACGTGTACCAGACAGCTTTATGGGGTACGTGCACACAGCTCCTGGGCTGCACTGCTCCAGCTGAAGATGACAGCTCTCCCACCACACCGTGCACTGTGTACCCAGCTGGGCTCTCCACACAAGTGCACTTCAACTCACGTCCGAGCAGCCAGGTTAGCTTAGGCACTTCACACAGCCTACCTTGGCCAAGCCAGGTCACCCTGCCTAAAAGCGAACATTCACAGTTTGTCTGCCAGGTCTGAGGGCAGGAGGAAGAGCAGCAGCCTCTGGCAGTTTAAAGGGATACCAGACTGATGGGGAGCTGATGAATAACTGGACATAAGGCTTTCAGCTAGCACTGATGCAATTAGATGATGTGTGTCAGCAATCCTAGGGACAGGACACAAACCCTCATCCTATCAAATCACGAGAGAGGTACTCTCACTTCAGAAGAGAACCCCCTTTATAGAGAGGGTATCCTCATGCATGCTAACTATTGCAGGTCTGTGTGCTTCTGCAAGGACTCCAAGGCACTGCATGAAACAGGTGAAGAAACATCCTCGCTTGGTTAAAAAAAAACAACACCAACACAACAAAAACTAAAACCAGACCAAAACAAAAAAAAAACCAACACAAAAAGAAGGGAATATTAAAGTAGAACTGTTTGGTTCAAGACTGAAACTAGTCCTGTCAGTGGCTACATGTGTAATGGCTCACTGGTCAACTCCTCTGCATGCTACTGTGAATCACAACCAATTCCTCCAAAGTTAGCAGAGTTATGCTCGTGCAACTGGGAGAAAAATTAAGCCCTCCATAGCTTGTATTCAGCTCATGGGCCATTAGCAGACCCTGAGAAACATGGCATTCTAACAGCAAAATACCTGAGCAACACAAGTCAAAATCACCATGAGCCCCCATTTCTGAAGGCACCACTCCTCCCACAAAGCTCAGGAGCAGGCAGACCCAAACCCTGCGTGCGCACCCCATGGCAGACAGCGTGAAACGATGGAGACAAGACAGAAGGTACAAAGGCTACATTCTACACTGTGACAGGACACCGAGACACACACAGTGCCAGCTCCTACCTGGAACATGGAAATGTTTAGGGGCCTGAGCGTAAGTTGGAGTGAGAGGGCGGCTGTCTGGCCGATAGGGGACAGGGGAGTTCCGACCGCTGGACGGCTCATTGCCTCCAATGAAAGAATGGAGAAAACAAAATGAGAAGAGGGAGAGCAATTAAAGAAAAATCAAATTAAAAAAGCAAGCCCAATCAAACCCAAACAAAACTGGTGGAATCAAAACGTCGAGGGAGAAAAGGAAGTTTAAACAAAAAATACAAACACAAACAATAACAAAATCTGGTAGCCCTGGTGACTTTTTTCCCCCTCATTTTCCTGCAGAGACAAAGATCTGTGTTCAGGCTGGAGTTGAGGCTTTAGCAGCTCGCACTCATTCTGACGGCATGCAGGCAGGAGCTGTGTGCTGGCAGCTAGTGATTAGATGGGCAATGTGGGAAAGAAGAATGGAAGGTTACTCAGCAATGACTTATTACAGAGATCGACATTGGAGTTAAAAGTCACAGGCACAGAGCACAGTAGTTGATATGCGAACTCAAAACAAAACCAACTCCAAGCAGGGTGAAGCATACGCTGGCAGCTACTTGTTCCCTAACCAAAGCGCACAAAAGCTACAGATGGAAAATAGCTGTTAGGCCACTTGGCCTGTATCAAAAGGCATACCTGCTCCTTACACATTCTTTCATTGGGTTAAGCCCTCTGATGGGAAGTTTATGATATGAAAAATCACGTGTAAAGCAATGCAACCCATCTGGTGGCTGCATTCAGATCACAGGTGCCACCCCAAGTCTATCAGTGCCACTCTTGGCTCCAGTGAGAAATACTTCATGACTGCTGACTTAGCAAATATGAATCTAATGTTTAAAAATGTAATTTCCATTTGTGTGATTGTTCTTCTTAAAATTATTTCTTTGCCTTCTAACAATCCACGCCAATTCAATAGTCCTGAAGGCTCCCATGACTGTCAGGGTGAGAGGGTTCTGCATGGCAGAAACATGCAGCTTGACTTAACAGCTGGATTTCCAAGCACATGACTGTGTGCACCGTAAAAGAATGCTGCTGCCTTTTATTTTGTGCCATTCTTTACTGTAGTGCAAACCCACAAAAGCAAAACTTTCCCACTTGAGTGCTTCAGTTTGTATGGGTGCAGCTGACCACAAAGGCATAAGACGTGAGCAAAAAACCCCTTCATTTTTTCAGGTACACACCAGGGACTGAAAAACCCAGCAAAGCAAAATAGCTGACAGCTCCATGAGGACTGTAAAACACAACAGAAAAACCCCTGCAGGTCTACTTTCAGCTCTAGGTTTCCTATGTTTCATTAGAGGACCGAAAATCTCAGACTTCTTTTGTATATATTATAGGAGGGAAGGAAAACAGAAGTTTTCTTTAAACTGTTCCTCTTTTAGCTGAGTGGTCATCTGCCAATCTTAAAAGTTGCCAGAAAGGGGGTGGAAAGAATGCTCTTAGCACACCTTGCTGAGAGAGATGTGCCAGCATACAAGACAATTCATCTGTACACGTGTGTTTTAAAAATGAGTGTGTGTGCAGTTTAGGGGGCTTAGCTGCATAAAATTTGTTCAGAAGAATCCATCTGCAATGTTCTGTGTTTACCAGTCTGATGTTTTACCTCTGAATGACTTGTTGCATATGACAACCTCCAGACAAGATTTTCTTTCAGCCACGTGAGTGGACAGCAGCTTTCCTATTTCGGGGGCAGTGGTGATGAGCTCCTTGATAGATTGTAGTAAGTGCTACATTTACCTGCTCTGAAAAGTAGCATGACTGATTACTTAAGGTAATACTGCCACACCTCAGTCTCTTGTCCTTCACTTGGCAATTCCAATACTGAGTTCTACTTGTCCCAGTCTCTGAAATACTATAATGGTGAAAGGCTCAGCTTGCCTAGTCTCATTTTACTTGTCTTCTGTTTCTACTTAGAAATCACGAGCTACTTTTTGGCAAAATAATTGTTCTGTAGGGAATAAGACACTAGCACTGAGATGGTCACAAGATAAAGTTAATTCCAAAATGCCATTTTGCCTTTTTGTTTCCATCAGCAGTATGTTCAATGAAGGAGATGAATCAGAAAGAATTTATTGAACTGTGGACTGTGACAACAGAAGAGTCACAAACCATTTTATCTGCTGGGAAGTGGTAGTCAAGATGATTTGTATATAAATACTTTAAGAGTGTGGGAATGTTCCATTTACAGTTCTTCTATTACTAACACTAGAAGTACCGGAAAGAAACCCTTCTTATACCCCTCTCTTTATCTAAACCAGACACAGCTAAGTATGATCACACCCATAAATGTATGCTGGCTAATCTCATATGTGGTACATGGAAAATCTCTTTAGAGAGAGCTGGTAATGTACAAAGCATGCAATACAAGGCACACAATTAGTGTGGTATCATCCTGCACATGTTGCTTTACAGACATCTCTGTTGCCTTGTATTTCCTGGGGTGCCTGTGCAGCCTGTCTCTTTCTAATCATTGCTACTATACTGACAAATGACTCTTCTTTATAGTTTCTAGGATTGTAGTCTCATTAACCACAACTGCTGCAGGAGGGAATGGTGCATCTGTTTAGATTCTCATTAGATCATCTCTGAGGAGTCCACTCTCATAACAAGGCATAAGTGCTTCAGAATCAGCAATAAAATCAGTCAATTTATGAAAGCAGCTCGTGCCTAGGAACCTGCTTCTGCATATAACCAAGAATATACTTATTTCAGTTTGCTTGTTATTCACAAAAATAATTACCAGTTAAACACAGCATTTTCTTCCATGTCTTCTCAGAAATGAAGAAAATATCAAAATCTGAAATGTTTTATTTCTAAAAGATTTCTTTTTTTTTTTTTTTTTACTAGAGCAAATCTGCAAAAATGACATGGAACTACTGTAAGATTTAAGTGCAAACAAACAGCCATTTTTCAGAAAATAAATTATTTTCAACTTTGTTAAGAGGAATTGCATAGACGTCTATTTAGAACAGCTTTAAGGTTTCAGCTACAATGGGCCTTAGGAACAGAAAACTGCAGGAACTTCATAGCAGTCTTAGTTGGAAAATGTTATGATTTGGTATGAAAATGGCACTGTTTGAGACAACATTGATTGCTAGAAATATAACACAGTTTCAGCACTTGCTGAACTCTAGATAGTGCTGGAGAAGCTAGGAAAAGCTGAAACTTCTAAGCCCTTGACCTTGGCAGTAACTTTAACCTGTGCAGCAGATCACAGAAGATGAATAAAAGGATTTTGAACTGAACAAAAATGACTGGTCATGTTTTCAGTGTAATGGCACTGTTCTTTTGACTCTGAGCACATGGGGTGTCCTGTTAGGTTTGGTGCTGAGGAGAATAATTGCTTCCAAGTTCAAAGGAAACTGGTGTTCAACTGAAAATGATGCAGCACAGAAACGTGTCTATGATAATATGAAAAAAAAAATCAGTAGTACAATTTGTTAAGCAGGTTCCCCTAGCAATAAGATTTACAATTGCTTCCCTATACAGAGTACAACATAATGCAGATTCCTGCTGCCTTCTCAAGTGTTTGCCACTGGGCCTGCTGTGCATTTCACAAGCTAAGCTCACAGAATCAGGCCAAAAAAACGTGTGTGCAGCCAACACTCAGCCTTCCGTCCGTTTGCAATTTAACTGCTCTGCTTCTAAACAAAGAAAAAAACCCAAACTCAGCGCACCTGAAGGCCAAAGACCTTTGCAGGTTTTCTCAAGCTGCCATTCATCAGCTTATCCAGATGCACAGACTCTATTTCCCGAACAATTGGAAAGTTGAGGAACAGCCAACTTGTTCTCCAGGTGGATTTTTTTCCTGCATCCATAGACCACTGGAAATAGTTATCACACACACACACTATTTGATTTCAGAGACCTCTCTCAAGGCAGGAAACCTGTGAAAACCAAGGCCCAAATTCACTATGGAGGTCGGGAGATTCCTTATGGGAAGGTCTGTGAGCAGAGAAACACAGAAACAGCCCTCCAACTCAGAGCTCCTTTTACACAGAAATCTTTGCAATAGTCTTGAATGCCTCTGAAAAATTCTAAGCATGTAAGACGAAATCCTGGGTCTCAATGAGAGTTTTGTCTCTGATTTCAGTAGGGTCGGGGTTTCTTTCATTCATGGACTTGTTTTGATTCTTTCATAGCAAAGACAGTACTTTATTGAGAGAAGTCCAAATTCAATGGAGAATCCAAATGAGTTTAAATGAAGTCTGGGCTGATAAATATTACACTCCCTTCCAGCCTGCTCAACATGTATGTTAAATCAACAAACTCTCGCTAAGACCTTCTTGGGCACTTTCAGCCCCTTCACTCCTCAAAGTTCTTCAAATATGGCATTGCCTGCAGGCAATGAGCATTACACTGCCTTAAATATTATGCTATGTGTAAATGTACAAACTGGTCTAAATGTCTACTAAATTTTCTGGCCTGTAGGTACAAAATAATATAGGTGTAACGTGACAAATACACCTTTACGATCATCATGCTGTTTGAAATCATGCTGCTTTACTACAGCAGTTTTGGCATCATTCATAGCCTTCAAATCCTCAATAAATAAATAAATAAATAAATAATCCCACAAAGCAAACAACAAAAAAAAAATTCCTAGAGCTTCATTAAATATTTCTTACAAACTTACACCAATTTTACTTTCTGCTCAAAGTACAAAGTGGCTTTGAGAAAGGCCGACTGTGTGCAGAGAAGATCGTATGACATTTCTTCATTAAATCATTGTAAACCTATCACATCTGATTAACTCTTGATAGGGTACCGGTTCTCATCTCAGATGCGTTCACAAGGATCTATTATTCTGTCTATTAGACAGAAGTGCCACACGCAATGGTAAAATGAGGCAGTTCTTTAAGCTTCAAAAATTGACATCTACAATATCCAAGGCAAACCCCTCTGAGTAAGAGGGCAGAGTTGCATCAGGTGCAGTCAGTACCAGACCAATCTTTATTTTCTGCTACACAGATGTAAAAAAGGGGTACTTGGACATGTGGTTTATAAGGGTTGCAAATAAAGAACCACGTGGGAAACCCAGATTAATCCCATCAGTGGATAGCCAAATAGCTGTTTGTGAACACAAAGCAGTGCATGTTCATGTGCAACTGGGCTCCCCTCAACACTAGATAAATTTAAAAAAAATAAAAAGATCTTCAACAAAATTTTCTAACCATGAGCACTTCATTGAACACTTAAGATGCTGGAAAAATTACGAAAGTCTTCAGGCCTTCTGACTTTTTATACCTTTTAGCATTTTTTAGCAACGGGAATACAAACACCTTTCAAGAGTTACTTATCTTCACCTTATACAAGTGAGACAAATGGCAATTGTTATCTAAGTTCAGTGGACCTTATTGTATATTTGATACACATGTGAACATCCTGTTACCACCAACAAGTATGTTGGTTACCACTCCACAAGTATGGAGATAGTGAACAAATCACTACCAAATCCCCATCTGACAGTGCTAATAAATTAACAGCCGTAAATCTTTCACTGTGAGATTGCAGTCATTTGATGGTCCTTCTCCAAAGCTTCTGCAGCACTCCTTATATCACCCATTCTGGAGGGAGTGTGTACCTACCAGTTCCCTTTAAATCCCATGCAAGTACCTAACATACACATTAACCTATGAACCAAACCAAAATGCCCCAGGTCACTTTCATAAAGTGCTTCTTTTTCTCAACCAACAATAAGAGATTACTCTCCCAATTGAGACATGTGAATTACAAGACGTGACTACCTGCTGCTTGCCCCACAGGCAACACAACATCCTCATCTGTTGTGCACCGTCACAGTGATGTGAACCTCAGCTTTTGGGAGTTCTGCTTAGTTATCACACACGAATCCTGTACAGGTCTAAGACCTGAATGTAAAACTTTGAAACACAAAGAATTCTTACAGTGGTCGTGCCCATGGCATCACTCACCACATCTATCTCCTAAGAGCCAATACCCACTCCTTTGTCCACAGCACTTGTAATTCCAATTGGCCTTTTAAACCAACCAGCAAGAGATACAAGCCTAATCTCCATGTATTTGAAATATGAAAATAATAGGCATGGATTTTCAATATGAATTTTCAATGATTTATCTGTTCAAGAATAGATCTTTTTCAGTTCTCAACAGAAAAAGAATGAAAATGCCATCTGAAAGAATGTGGACATTAATTTGGATTGTCAGCAAAGAAATGTTGAAATTGCAAGGGTTATGGATTAACTGCATGCTGAAATGAGCTGTGTATCTATTTTTAAGGGTCCCAATTTTTAAAGTTCAAAGCGAGGTTTATTTTTCTGCAGTGAAATAAAAGGGAAGTTGAAAGTGTATATTAATGAAAATCATCTAAGAAAACGCAAACCTAAAATTAGTAATGGTGATCTGATCGTTTGAAGAGAGACAACATTGAGATCTATTAGCATTTCCTGAAGTGCATGGAATAACCTCCTTGCAACTATCTTTGATTAACTTCAATTTCTGATTATCTGCATTAATCAAAGGTGCCAGAATAGAATCCATGCTCAACATACTCAATTGCCTCTTTTTGAGCTTTTCCAAGTGATATAAACTACGACTGTCTTCCCCAACAGGAGGAACAGCACAGCCAGAGCACTCCAATAGAAGTAAAACCATATTCACAGAAAGCAAGAAGTAAAACTAAAAACTTATTGAGCTGGATGAGCTTTTTGAAGGGACAAAAAGAAAGAACAACTCCCATCCTGCAAGTCAAATATTGTAAAAGAACAGATTAAAAAGCAAGAAGCGACCAAATCCTCAGATAGTGTAAATCCCTGCAAATCTACTGCCTTCAGCAGAGTTTGCTGATTCTCACTAGTTGAGGAGAGGCCTAAGATTTTATTTGTTGGGCACTTGTTACTGCCAACAAAACTGAGAATGATTGATTTCCTCATTGCTACTGATCTTTATGTAATACGATTTTTCTTCATATTTTTTGATCACCTTGATTTCATATAGGTATTATCTGTCGTGCATTTTTAAACGCACGTTTTAAGAGTGTGGAAATAATAGTTAATTTGATGTGCTTTCTGCTTTAGACACTGCATATACCAATTAAAAAGAGGCTAAATTAGGATCTAAACTGACGGTGATAATGCGTCCCTCTGCATTTCTAGTCGGGAATTTGCTTGAAGTCTCTTCAGCTAGGGCCCTTAGAAATGACATACATCCTTCATGAAAGGACATTATGTCTATTCTAACAGTTCTAAGTGTAACGGCACATTTCGAGGCATGCTCAGCTCTACAGCCAATGATAACCTTACGGAGATGCACCTTACTAGCTCTGACAGAATGCTAATAAATCTCCAGCCTGGAGGGTACTCCCTGGAGAGGCCTGGCTCCTTACCTTTGACATGGGGGATGAAGTGGTGTCGGAAGGGGGAGTTGGGGCGGGAGTCATGGTGAGCGGAGCTGAGACTGCTAGTGCGCAGGTATGACAACCGCTGCACACCAGTAGAGAGCAGCTCTGCAGCAGCAGGGAATCGGGGGGCAGAACAAAATGAAAACAAAGAAAAACAATAAGAGAAAGGCAGGGAAGGAGGCTTCAAAGGAAGAAAAAAAAAAGGCATTACACAATTAGGGTTCTGAAAAGGAGGAAGGAGGAAAAAAAATAAAGGTTAAAAGACGTACCGAAGGGTTCATAAATCTTAGACAAAATTACAGCAAGTGGTTGAAAAGATGCTCAGATTTGAACTGCATTGCTGGTTCAGCAAACTATTTACTAGCTTAATGAGCTTATGATCTATGCCTTGTTACCAGAAAGTAGCCTGCTACCATCATGCAAACATCACAAACATTGATGCTCAGTTAGCTGAGAAAGCAGCTGTCTTGCAAAGTGCCTAACCAAAAAAAACATCAGTCAAGAGGCATGCAAGCTGCCTTCTATTGTTTTAAAACATTCCAAAAATGCTGCCAACGTCAGATATGACATCAGGGTACGAAAAGGCTGCAAACTTTTTCAAAACGTGAAGCATTCCAATTTTGAAGAACGTGATGCTGACAACGTCAACACAGTGCTTCACTTCTCTCTCAAGAGCAGCTGGAAGCCAGGAGTTCTCTGAGGCCACTGAGCTTATTCCGAGAGAAATTACTCTTGCAAATAACCAAAGGTACCATTAGGAGAAACATATACACACGTTATTATTCAACACGAATGACACTGTAGGAAAACTATAAATTAATATTAATAATTACCCCAAAGCGGGGTTGCAAAGATCAAAACAACCAATTCTACAGATGTTGTCTGTATCATAGGAGAAACAGAAGCAGGTGACCCACAGATGAGATCACCTGAGCAGAGATCAGCTTGAACAAAAATATTCTCAGAACATCCCCCAGACTGAAATTTTGAAGATTTTACATTTGGACCCTTCTGATTGAACAGATAGTGAAATTCAATCACAGTAAAGTCTGGAATGAGGCCTGGATTCTTAACTGTCTCTGATACGACAGAGATGGAAAAATCCCCTTGGAAGTGCCAGAATCAAGAGACAGAAGTTTGCAGCTTTTTCACGCTTTATAAACGTCTTTCAGTTTTAGCTGTAATGTCATTTTAAAACACAATCATGTTGTCAGCACATAGTATCAGACACAATTTGCTTCTGTCCCACCTCCCTTGAGTGCTTTAAATAAGGCATTCACTGACAGACACAATTAGCTGCTTTCAGCCCACCCCCACTAGGAAATGGCTGCTGCTCTCATGTTCCACAGTGGTGGCTCTATAATAAATCTTTAATTTTAAAAATGCAGCTCCTATTATGTATGGGCTTTTGGCAGGCCAAGTGTTCATCTGCAATCATCAAGGAAGATGGAACTGCATTACTGCATCACTTAACTTAAAAACAGGTCACAAAGATTTAATTTGTTAGCATTAAAAGTAAATTAGTCTTGAAAAGTACTCAGTTAATTGCATTTAGAGATACACTTTTATGCAGTTTGGGTGTGGATGAACACTTCAGTTTCATGTATTGCTTTCACATCCACAATCAGAAATATGAACGCACTTGGAAACTGACCTGAATGTTTATTATATTATACACAGAACTTGTACATCACTGCTAAATCACTAAAAATGGTAGCATTTTCAAATGTGCTTTGCTATTGTCTACGATTTTAAATAAGAAATCTGTCGTGCACACTATGAGTCTGTGTTTAGGAAAATGATGGTATTTGGAATATCTGGGTTATTTGCTGTTCCATCTGACATTTCATGGGTGCACCAAGCTTCAACTGAATAATTATTTTTTCAAAGGAAGAATCCTACACGAGAGGCTGCTGTCCAGTCAAGTCGTAACTTTTGTTTCCAAAATATGGTTGCTCTTCCCAAATTCCAGAATGAAGTTTGTGATTTGTTACTGTAAATAGTTGCTCACTTTCACAAAGTTACATACATTTGAAAAATAATCAGAAACAAAAGCAGAAGATGAGTACTTATGACATAAGACACTCATCAACCTAGGGCAGAACACACTGCACCAATCAAGAACAAAAAAACAGGTAGAAAAGGAGATACTAAAATATGCAACAACTTTTCAATCAGCTGCTAAGAGAGACAAGTGCTTCTCTGTGCCACTAAGCGACACAATAAACACTGCTTTTACAAATACTTCTAATGCAGTTGCCCTTACCGGGTCTGTGGAAATGCTGAGGGGAGCGTGACATGGTGGGCGTGTAGCTATGGCGACTGTACACTGGAGAATTAATAGAGCCCTGACTAGTAGACCTGTGAATCATGCGATCCCGAACATCTTGATAACCCTGCAGAACAGAAGCAATAAAAATGGAATTCATTACAGAATATAAATGCACATTATACGTTTTTCTAAGCAGTGCTCAACTTTCATGGATCCGAAAACATCTACAGAAGATACTGAAAAAATATGTTCCTTAAACTTTCAACCCATTTCATTATTACTGTTATCTAACTATCTGCTCCAAAGACTGATCCATTTTCACAGCCAGTGTCTGTGATCAGTCTTGAAAGGTTCAAACTCTACGTGTCACTCAGGGTAATTTCTATCACACTTCCTGTGATCCCAGGTTCCCCATGTTCCTATGGCTCCATAAGGGAAGTTGCATTCAGAGCATCCTTGTCCTGCAGCACATGGCACAAGATACATGAGCTAGTCATCAATTAGATCAGCTGGAAACCAGCAAGAATTGAACAGCTGAAGCACAGAGCTATCCATGGCTTCACTTACCATTTGTCTCAACTAGCTACAACAAGGGGCTGAAGCATCCAAATTAGATCTGCCCCCTGCCCTCCCCTCTGAAAACAAGACCCCTTCTTGTACAGCGAAGCCTAACTTTCTCCATTTCCTGGAAGACAAACCCAAGCCAAACAAAATGAGAAAGCACACACAAAGCAAACCAAAGCAGGACAAAAGAGATGGGAGCAATTTGAATGCATGAAGAATTACAACAAATTTTAAAGACTTTTTTTTTTTTTTTTTTTAAACATGTAGCAATCACTGTGACTTTTAGATTGCAAACAAGCAATACTTCCCCATCCCAAAATGATAACACTTATGCAGTGGTATCATCTACACCTACAGTATTCTGACACATGACTGTCCTGATATATAATATTCCTGTAATGCTTAAAATAGCTCTAAGGTCAAAACAAAACAAAACCAAAGCAAACCAAACCATAGCTATGTTTTCTTCAAGGTAAAACTACAGCTGTCTTAGCAGCAAACGTAGTTTGCAAAAATTATTTAAATTCTTAGAGCAGTGTTTTAGGTAATGCAAGTCATCCATCTGAGACCCTGTGGGTGTCACCAGAAGGATGTGTGTTTAAGAAGTGACCTCTGCTGGACAAATGGCTCTGTGTTACAGACAACAATTGGGGAGGGGCACCAGATTCATTTTTGTATAATCTGTCAGTGAGGACTTAATGTTCTCCTTTTAAGTGATCAAAAACCATTTCTATGTGCCCCCTCCCCCCCCCCCCCAAAAAAAAAAAAAAACAAACAAAAAACAGACAGATCAGATCAGGCCAGGAGCAAAATCAATCAAAAGCAATCACTGACGTGAGTAATCCTAGTCATGGTAAGATGAGGTTTCACCACACTTACTTCTGCTGAAGGGGTAGGTGATAATGTCCGTGGAGACTGCAAAGACATAAGAAAGTAAGGTTACAGAATCATCACTGCATGTCTTGGGCTAGAAAATGGCAACCCAAACACTGCTGCAGGTAGAAGGATATTATACAGCAGTACAAAACAGCACTGTAGGCATTACTGAGGCCACCGTAATGCTGCAACTTGCTTTTTCCACATTGCTCAGGAACTGGTCCATAAATCACCGAAGCGCTTAAAGTTTCTGGGAGAATCTATAAGCGTGATTAATTCAGTCAGCTATCATGCCATGACATCTCTCAGCCATCTAATGATTGCGGTAATTAAAACATAGCTGTAGAGATCAAAATCAGAAAGGATTGTTAATTTAATAAGCATGCCTGTTACGAAGAACTCTTTAAAGTGGAAATCAAAAGTAAATAATTTTAACTCAAAGCTTTGCATGGCATCAGAAATACAGAACAACTTCCAAGATGAAGCACATTTTTCCTTCAGTACACACAGCCTGGCAAAAATCTGCTTTTTCCTCAAGGCTTTATTTTTCATCCCCAGTGCAAAGCAATACAAAGACGCCATCATTTCTTTGATATGATCTCTCTCTAAATTAGCTTTGTGCTCACCCACAGTTACGCACAGAGAACCAGCAGGAATTACAAGCATGTATACTGAAGGAATTATGCAAAAGCCAGAGGTCATAAACATGCACAAGACTTACTAACAGCTTCTATTACAGATAGGGAAACCAAGGCAAGACATATCTTTAGAAACCAACTTAACCATGCATTGCTTGGTGGTACAAACTACAAAGGCTATGTGCAGTTACCAGCTATGTGTCATTTATCATAAGACAATTAGAAGCTGGAAGATCAGGATTGAAAATATTTATTTTTATGCATTACATTTCAATATTATTTAATTGCCATAATAAGCCTGGCAAGAGATTATGCTCTCAAGTAAGACCACAACTATTACAGAACAAGATTTTTAGCTAAAACATCCAGCGCCCACTAGATGGTGCTATGTGAAAACTTTTCTCATCACGGGCTTCCAGAAAAACAAGACTGGTAGTTAATTGAACATGAGAGACTATTGGTGAGAAACTTTCCAATGCGTTTCCCTTTCATTGCAATGAAGAAGAAAACGTTTTGTCACTTTCTATGTCTGAAGTACAGAGTTTTCTCGTAGCTCAGTCCCTGCATTTAAGGTTTGTCTGCACCACTGAGTTAATCTTTCTTACCTGGCTTTAGTGTTGTTTTGTTTTTTTTTTTCCAGTCATGGTGAAAGGCATTTCTAGGGTATGATTTTAAGCTCAGGCTCACAGTTTCTTTAACCCCATCACATATACACACTTTCCAAACAGACTGCAGGCTAACTCACTCAAAGCCTGTAAATCCTAGCCATGTCTAACCACGTCACCTCCTTTGCTTTTTAAAGATGATGGTGACTGGTGTATGACATACCAAGATTAAAGCATCACTCATTTATGACAACACAGACACAGGGATCACTGCACCCTGATGGACTTCTGCTTTCATTAAGGAAAGGAAAGGGAGGACAAAGAGGTACAAAGAGGCGAGGTGAATTGCCCAAGGTCACAGCAGTCACTGGTAGCATGAGGCAGAGAGCCCAGCTCTCTTGAAAGGAAGATGAGAACCCTTTCGTTTCTGGAAATTTCTGTAGTCACCAGAAATTAATAAGATTTAATGCTGGTGATAACACAGCATAAGAAAACACCAAAGGCTTTTGCTCTTCCCGAGAATAAGCATAATGGCAATTTCCAATATATGGCTTTATCAGCGAGCAGCATCCCCTCAAGGATTAACAAATAGTTCCTCTGGGTGAGATCAGTTCCTCCTCCGTGAGTAACAAGAGACTGGTTTGTAGCTGGTTCTGTGGAATGGCTGAGACCTGTTGGAACCGGGCAGAGATCACCAGTGCATCTCAGTGGATGTGAATCAGACGTCAGCTGGACCTATTGCCAATCTGAACTGGAGGGAGAAATTCTGTAATTTGATCTCTTAATCTCTTATTTCACTCATGAGCTGAACTCTCTCTTGAATTTCCTCATATTTATTTATAACTCTAAGTTAAAATATTAGCCCTATGAAGTATTAAAGAACAAAGTACAAAACCTGCTGTAAATCTGACCTGCTGGTGGGTAGTATATGTTGCTGAGAGAATATTGTCAGTCACTTCAGACCACTGTCTGAATGATCTATTGTAGTTCCTTTTTCCTCAGTTTATCTTCATGTTCAATTCACCAAGACTGTAAAATGAATCCACTTTTATGCCCACTTAGATTTGCATTCTGGAAGTCAGATTTACAGCTACCTGGTACCACTTGATAAAACCTACTTCATGACCTGCACTGGAGCCACCTAAACAGTAACTGCATCTATGGAAGTTCACCTGAGAAACAGGGAACCCTACAGCCTGAAAGCTGCCTTTAAATACAAGTTTAAGTAAATAAATTAGATGGCTGCTTCTCTTCTTGAATTCTTTACTAAACGTCAGCAGTTTAAAAAGTGAGGCACCTATTTCCACACTGCAACTCACCTGCTGTTTCCAGTTGGAAGAGCACTTAATCTCAACTTACTTCAGATTCTATCTTGTACGTGTAGCAGTGTGCTCCAGAAATATATTTCCATTCAATCTAAGAGAAAGTGTCTTGCTGTTTTGAACCCTTTTACTGCCACAGAACATCATGGTAATTCCTCATATTCTGTTGTGAGCACTTGTGCTCTGCAGCAATGTGCCTGCTACATGGCACAGTGCTAGGCTGGCATTTGCCTCATGTTCTGGACCCAAAGGCCAGAACACTCTTTCAAATTATGAAGACACACAGCCTGCAACCTGTTCCCCATTCCTCTGCCAGCAGCTGGTGTTAATGCAGACAAAAAGCAGACCTGTGTGTTTAACTATGCAGTTTCCCCACCTAAGGCATCATCATGACTGTTCCCATTTAATGCAGATCAAACAGACAAAAAGCACTTTGAACAGCAGCAGCAACAATACTAAAGAGTGTTAATTAGGAATTATTTCAGAAGAGGATAGAAGCGTAGCAGGCTTTGAGTAAAGCTTATAGCAGAATGGGTTGCTTGTCAGTTCATTACCTCTCCAAGACTCTGTCTCTCCTGTCTGTCCTCGTAGGCGGAAGTGTAGAATGGCTCATAAGTAATTAGGTCTGGACGTTCAATGTCATAAATGGCCTTGACTTTGGGAATGGCTGCTAAATCCTTGTAATCAAGGATCTCATTGTCTACTTTTGCCTGAAGGTCAAAGACAGAACACAAATTAACTTACACAAATGCACTGGCAATTTCTATTTTACACAATTTATGATTCTGTGTATTTGTTATCACACTGTTGCTATGGAAAACCCTTTTTGGCACTCCAAACATAAAATGACTGCTTCTTGTTCTTCTCCAAGTGGGCCTCCTCTCCAAGAGCACACAGTGTTTTCTGAGTTTAGGAAAGAAAGAACACTGCATATACAGATGCAACACAAAAGTTCCCTATCAACTGCACTGAGCTGGAAACTTCAGCTCTATAAATGACTCATTTTGTGTCCTAAGGCAAGTCATTTCACCTCTGTTCTTATTTTTCCATCTGTAATATGTGTGATATTATCAACTAAGTCTGCTGATCACAGAGATTATGAGAGGATTCCATGCAGGAGATACAGACAGAATGTCAACCTCTAACTTTGCACACAAGAGGAAATACAACTTGTTACAAGGAAATAACAAGGCAAGCAGGACTGGTCAGGGCTATGCATCAAACTCCCTTCCAACTGAAATTAGTATATTGCATTCATCACTCAATCTGTATGCAAGATTCTAACTAAAGTGTATGTTAATTAATACTAGGATAATATGTAATACTAACATAGACTCTTCTTTCATTAGAGCTGCAAAGAACTCTCAATTAGTTTAGAACTGAAAGTAGGAAATCAGTTCCAAAAAGACAGCTGCACCCTTCAGAAGAAGCAGGAAAGAGGTCTTACCTACTGTTTATGTAGCTAATATCTTTCCTCACTTAAAAAAAGACTTGCTGAAAAAAAATCATCGTAAATTCTTACCTACACTATAGAAATTCATTTTATTTTTAAAGCCAAAAGGAGATATTCAAACTGCTTTTCACCTTCACTCTTCTACTAGCTACTTTAGTTACACATAGCAAGCTGTACAAGGCAATAAGGCTGATCTGTTTCTGCTCACCTTCCACTGTTCTGACTGTTAGCACTTAGTATCTTTAAGTGCATTTACCTTCCCAAGCTCTCCTAACAACCACTCACGGTGATTCTTATGTGATGCCACAAATCAGACAAGCAAGGACTGAGATTGTTAGCAAATCCACTTTCTAAAAATAGCACAAAATCTGTTTAGCTTTGACTCACCAGATATAACAGAGTATCTTTAGCCAATTTAACCCTTAATATAGGCAGCTTTATGAATTTATAATTTTTTTTTATGACAATCCGTTAATGAGCTGTTAATGTATGAATATTTTATTCCAGTGTAAATTACCACACATTTTCACAGATCTGAATGTAGGCCAACATTCTGGCTGCCACACAGACTCCACTGTTCAGCAACAGGTGAGGTTTCCTAAGCTAAAGTTTATGCAGGTGATATTACCAGCACAGTATGCTCTGTGGTTTGACATCTGTAAGTGTGAACATTTTTATCACAGTAGCTGTTTTTTGGCTGCTGTTCAAATGCACTGATGAACTAACATTCAACCCAAGCTCAGAACTTGAGATTTATAATATTTGGTACTGTTGGTATTTTTTCTGCATTATTATATGTGTACCTGGTAAATCTGTATGCCTTATGTTTTCACCTGTACAATCTTAATATTATCTACAAATTCAGCAATTCAGTGTGAAATACAAGTAACACGAAAGAACATTTGCCCTGCAGTCTTCCTTTTCCAAACAAATCTTTGTCTTTGATCCCCCCAGAATGGACTCTAACTTGCTTTCTTGACATTTTCTTCCTTAGCTTCTACTTCTCCTTTCCTTCTCCTTTCCTTAGCTTCAACTTCTCCAGGTTGTCTGGAGCATGTTTTACATGCTGAGAAAGATTACACAGACTTCCAAGAAACAGGGCTTTTAAATGGATGTGAGTTCTTGGAAGTGTAGGTTATACGTGTGCAAATATAGCAAAATTGGCAAGGCTGAGCAGTAGTTATTCACTCAATTACACTTGATTCCATACTCTTCAGAACAGAATTAATAGATGACTTTTTTTTTTTTACCCTACAGAATTCTCTACCAAGAAAAATGGGCACTGACAACACTGAAATGCTTGAAAAAGTAGTGTGAGCAGAAAATAATTATTGCTTCAGAATTTTGAAGCAAACATTCTGCTGATGCATTTCTAACTGTCATCTCTTAAATTACATAGGTTCAAAAGGTAGCAAGAAAAGAAAAAGATCTTTTCCAAACTTAATAATTCTAAGATTCTATGAAAGAGGTAATTTGATTACTGAAGGAACCTATATCTCAATTAACTACACATAAAACAGTTTATCAATAGCTTTGCACTGTCAGCACTGTTAGTCTAATAACAGTAGGATGCTTAATATCCTTTTTTGTTTTAAATCCTTCCCTTCCCCCCTTCTTTTCCTTTCATAGCCAAATCTAACTTCTAAAAATGTGGGATCAGCCAGGCTTCCTTCAGTGTGCCTCACCCTTCACCCATGTTCTACAGCTGCTGATAGCAGACCTCTCAAGAACTGCGTACTGAAGCGCAAAGATAACACGTCTAACAAAGTCAACTGATCTGTCTTCTGTCCCTCTTCACATCATCCAGTGATTTCAGAAGATCTGCTAAATGTTTGCTTGGCCTGAAGAAGCTCTGCCCTGCTCTTGAAATTATGTAGTGATAAGAATTACGTGGCAATGAGAATTTTAACAATTTAACCACTAGGATGCAGGCAATAGCATCAGCATAAAATGATTTATTTCAGCATGGAGTATTTCATGTCCAAGCAAGGGCTCATCAGAAGGAATACTTACATAGATAGTGTGGCCCGGTGAGCCAGGTATACTGGAACCTGGCCTGGAATAAATGCTTTCTGATGATGTTCTGGTAGGCTGAAAAACAAACAGCAACTTTTCAGAGCCATCTAAAGCAATTAACGTTTGGTAACTCTGGATACAAGTGGAGAAATCCGCACATTGAAATTGACTGTATTTAGAAAAAAAACCACATCAACACAAGATCAAGCATTCTGGCAAATTCCACAGTCTCACAAGGCAAATGGACTCCCTTTTTCTGCAGCAGAAGGAGTGCTGTGAGAGGTGAAGGAGGTTTTCTAAATCATAGTGTGAAAGACTGACAGCAATAATGAACAAGTCTAAATGACACCTGCCAAACTCACTGCAAGGAGCCATACACCATACAGTTCAGGACGGTCATTTTATCAAAATGTTAATTCACAAACAGCAAGAGAGATCAGCAGCCAGTGGTTCAGCAGCCAAAATTACTGAGAAGAGCACAGCACACACGTTACTGCATTCCAGATGTTCAGTCACTGGATTTCCATCATGAATACAGGATTGAAATCAGCCTTTTTCAATAGAAGGACCCGAAATCCTTGGGGCAGTTCCCTTACATCTGCAGTACGACTTAGACGCAACCTAAGAGCTAAAATGTTGCTTGAAATGTCTTGACTCCCTGCATTGTAAACTCCTGATGTTTAACAACAACGGCCTGGAAACTGAAATTCAGAACAGTCACACCCCTACAGAGTGAGAGTTGTTGTATATTTAGTGGATTTTTCAGCATTTCTTCAGTATTAAACAGACACTGACTCCCTTGGGGAAATTTTACAAGAGCATCTTAGCACCGAGATATGGGAATCCTGAAAAATTTATGAATTTGAAAACCATTTAATTAAAATGGGGCAAGAACTCACACATTCAGCATGCAGCAGGCACACAAAGTTAACCAAACACGTCCCACTTCCACTTGTGGAGCAATAAACAATTCTTGCAAAGAATCAACTCCTCTCATAAAGCAATGCATCAGTAGATGATTCTGATGACGCTACTGCAGTGGGACACAATGAAGATACTGAAAATTAAATCTTGCCAACTGTGACACTGAACTAAGGGACCTTTTGGTCATTGATTGAAGAGAAGGAAGGCTTAGCAGCTTGGCTTAGTGATTTTTCTTAGTAAATGTTGGGACTGAACACAACGAGGCTACTGGAGCTTTCTCATCCCTCAGCATGCACTTCCTGATCAAATTCTCCAGTGCTGAGTCTTTCTACTTTTAATTACATCCCCAGGAAAACCACTGGACTCATCCTTATAAAAATGCTGAAGACTACATAAAATTGGATTTCTCTGACTTCATTTGTGGAAATGAAATCATCATAAGCAGGGATAGTCAAAGGAATTAAAGGGCTTTGAACACATTCCATCAAAAAACGTGAAGATCCAGATCAAACAGACAACAGATGTGGCCATGGAATGACATAGCCACCAATCCCCTCCGGAGCATGTCTGAGAACGCCTTCTCAGCTGGACCTCTGTATGTTTCTTTCCTTTTTCCTCTGTAGTTGCAAATTCCTAAATCCCAAAAGGGAGCGCAGAAATTTCTCAGCTGCCCTTTGGCTCCTCCCATGATGCAATCAAAGAAAACCCAAACCAACAACAAACAATCCACTTGTTTTATGGAAATGTTACAAGACTGAAGTTGGCTGCTGTTGAGAAACACTTCATTCCCTTTTGCTCTGCCATCTCACACTGCTGAGCAGAGACATGTGTAACATGTTGCTGCAGTTGCTATGGAAAGCAATTGTTTTCATTGCAACACAAGGAACACAGCTACAGACATGAGGTTCTGTGAGGGGTGTCTGTCACCTTTCACTTTTGGCAGACGTACTTCAGGAGTTTTGTCTGATTAATTTTCCCTCTTGTAGGAAAACAAACACAGGAGCCAGCTCCAGCTTCTCAACTGGCAAACCCTCTGGGATGCACTTCTCTCCGGCTCTTTGTAATCACTTCAAAAAATAAGAATTTTTCAGTCCTTGCTCCAGCCCTGAGCCTCACTTCTTAATGCAACTGCTAAAAGCTTGTTCAGCAAAGAAAAATTCCCCTGTGCTTGTCACATCAATGACTGCACTGAACAGAGTCAGACACGGTATGAAGCCACACCCTGCTATTGTATTTCTTAGATGTTCTTTCCCAAAATAAGAGAGTGGTTGTCAGGTGGACTGGCAAGTCATAGCACCTGCCCTTCAGCTCCTCTCCATCATGCCATCATCATGGCCATGAGGCAGACATGACACTCCTCAAAACCAGTTTTCCCGAACTTCCCGTGTACATTAATTTAACCTCCCATCTACTTGTTGCAGGGCAGGATCCCACCCTCCCAGACACCACCTGACCACATGAATCCAAGCAGGGTTTTCTCCCTCTATTGCCTCCTAGAACAAAATCTTGCTTGATTTTACAATATAATCCCAAAAGCAGCACATGAAAGAGGACTTCTACACCTGCCTCACTTGTTTATTTGAATAAGGCAGTCTGTTTCCACTGCAGATAGCTATTTCCTACTCTGCTGCTTCCCACGTGGTCTGGGAGCCTTCACAGATCCGCATCTTCCCCTAAAGAAAATTGAGGAGGAGAGCTGATCAGAGCATATGTTAAAACTGGAACTGTGGCAAACCTTGATTCAACCTTTAGCCTCATTGGAGATACCACACGAGCATCTCACGCACATATTACTGGAAGATAACAGGTAAGGAAATGAGAGGAAACCTCCTTTAATAGGAATGCATTCCTTTAGATGTTTCAGTCCCACCCAACAGGCCTGGGACACCAGATCTGCACATCGTACAACTTAAGTCATCTTATTTCTGCAAGCACACCTGGTGCCTTCTTTACATGACTGCTTTTTTTGCTAGGGATTCAAATACAGCTTTGTGTAATGACACCTTTGATCACAGGAATTTGAAGAAAACTTTTATTAAGTGCTATAACTATTTTTTTTTCTTGTACTTTGTAGCCTTTCTTCACATTTTTTGACCGTGTAAGTCATTTATTTTTAATTTCCTCCTCAACCCAAAAGCACGTAACACCAGTGTGTATAAGTTAGCATGGGATGTCTGTAGCACATATAGGAAGTGTATGAATGTACATGAAAAAAAGCAATAGAAATTCAATCAATTGAAATTCAAATGTATCAACCAAGACACCACTGCACAAAGGATCCAAAACATCTGTAAGACTTCTCCGTATTCTTTGTTTTATCACAGACCTCTTATTTCAGTGGTTTTGTTCTTCATTTCATGCATTTGTCTTCGATGCAAAAGTTCTTTACCAACTTCATTTCCAGACTGTCAAAGGCAACCCCAACTCTCATGCTCCCAATGCTCATCCTATTAGGCTCACTGTGAATTTCAGCACTCAGTTACAGTATCACCCATGCACACGCTCCAAATCGATTAACTCATTACTTCAACATTAGATTGCAAAGCTTGACACGTTCATCTGCGTTTATCTCAGTCTGTCATGTTATCATGCATGGCGCATCATCTAAACAAGTGAGTTTCTAAAATAAAAGCATCTACGCTGGAGCCATTCACATCATCCAGTTACGCTGCAATGTGGTGGCTATGGCTTTTGAAAGTACAGATGTTCAGAATCATGCACTATTAAAACTTCCAAGTGCAGGCAAACAGATCAAATCTGATCCCGAGAACATCTGGCCAAACAGATGCACTGTTGTTTAACAAAGGCATCGTCAGCGTTGTCTACAGTACCTGCCTTAGTTTTTTGATAGAGTTCATTATGCAAGGCGGTGATAATAGCTGCAGAAGAACGAATACGATTTCACTTAACAGCATTGAACATTACAGTTTAAACAAATTCTCTAAATCCCAGAAGTTACTGTAAGGTATATCTGTAAACAAAAGAAGTTCAGCAGGTAACTTACTCCACTTGGCAGGCACAACTTTGCAACAGCAAGGAATCTGACAGTCCCAGTACAACACTAATGTGAGTACCTGCTTCATCAACTACACGGTTTTACAGGTGTAACTCAGCTTGTGGAACCAGAGCTCATTATAGGCTGGTTTGCCATGGATTTCAGTAATGTTCAGTGGCAGTGTATAAGACCAAGAAAGTAATTCAGTGCTACAGCATTCATTGTGCCTGTCTGCCAGTGTAACTCCTGACAAGTGTGTTACCTTCAAATGCACGGAGCCTGTCATTATTTCCCTCCCTTAAAAATTTACAACGTGTGTGCATAAAGACAAAAGTAAAGAACAGGTTTAGTTCAAACTCACACAGATGCGTTTTAATCAATTACAACAAACTTTTTCTTTCCTTTCTAGACAAAAAAGCTGAAAAGGAAAAGGTATTTTCAGCACAGTCACTGAAGTCACACTGCTACCAAATACAGTCTTTCATAGAAAGTAAATTAAGTGAAAGGCAGAAAAAATGAAGTGAGAAATATATAACAGTGAATTCAGGGCCAAACTCCTCACAGAATTCACAAGATTTCACTCATTCTTGGTTTTCTTCCTCAAAAAATCTTAAATAATAAGATACTTCGATATCAAATAGTAAGATTTTTTGAGATAGGTAGCAAGTATGACTTTAAAAACACTGAAGTCATTTTTCATCTTAAGACATTTTTCCCCATAGTTAAGTTATTGAAATTTCCTGTGTTTCTGCTTACATTCAGCAAACAATTAACACCTGTAAATATGGGCCTCAGTCCATAAATAGCTGTTCATGGCAAAAAGCAGCAATTATTGCACATGAAGTGTGTATTTCATTTATATTCCACAAGGCTCTTTTGTTTTCTTTCTGGCATTGCCTTTGGCATCAAACTCCTAGTTAAATGCCTGCCTTCCCCTCATTTCAGCAGCACCTCCAGTACTCAAGTTTGGCAGCTCAGAACTTTTCTTGGGCTGGCAGTCCTAAGTGCCTGATGCGTAATCACTGCATCAAATTGACACTAAAAGTGCATAAAGTTCCATTTGAATAAGACACTGAGGATTGTCTTCTCCAGGTTACACACACCATCCAAAGAGCTATCAGCAAGGTTGTCATATGATGAAGATCTGCAGTAGACAGACACCTCTCCTGTTTTGCCAGAAGAGTAACGTGCCACCATGTTAGCAATAAGACACAGTACCAAATGGAACTCACTAGGCAGCCGGCTCACCTGAGGCTCAACATTTCTTCCTGCCTTCAGTGTTAAAGGTGGTCATAGATCTAAGAGATCATCATGTATTCTTGCTTCTGGATAAGGTTTTGTAATTTATTTCCCACTAACTGTTTGGTACCAACAGAATTCCTGAAGCATGCACCTTCCTAATGATCCAACTATCTCAGACATGCTCTCCCTTACTGCATGCAAAAGGCTTTTGCATCAAGCAAAACAGGTAAAATTAAAATCTGAAGTTTTCATGTAGATTAATGTCCTTGGCCCATCTTAACAGCAACAGCAATGATAGCATCTTTACCCTGCAGAAGATCACATGAAGTCAAAACCTGCTTTGAATTACACTTCGTATAATCAGCATGTGCATCTAAACAGAATTAAATATTGAGTACATTTACACAAGAAGATATAATCTGACCCTAAGCTACTTCAATGCTACAGTCTACAGTACGAGAAAGTCTACCTTAATTAGAAATTAATACATAAGCACTGCTACAAAGGAGAAGAAATGGAATTAGGTGGTGTTCTCAAGTTCAGAGACCCTCGTGGAAGTTTGAAAGTGGAAAGGTGGTTCAGAATCAAGAGGACAGGAAGGACCTCTTAACATCAAATTGGATGTTCTGCTGCTTACGGACAGGCAGATGCTATTGAGCAGTGTACATGACATGTTCAAATCCTGCATCTTGCAAATATTTTCTCAACTGAAGTTTTCATCTGTAGATGGTCAGCGAGTATAAAAACAAAATTGATGCAACTGATAGCAATTCTTTTTCCTAAAAAGCACAAGCTATTGTTCATGTAGTAACAATGGTAACTGTTGTTACAACAATAACTATTGTTACTACACTTAACCATCCCTTCAAATTCAGATGCTTTTTATCATTTTCTTACGTTTCACATTTGCACTCTTATTTTTTGTTTCAGAAGAAAAACGTCCGATAGCACAAATGAAGCACTTCATTAAACAAAATTTAAAACATGAGAATTAACACTGCACTACATGATGCAAAATACAGTCAGTGCCCAGGGTGGCAAGTGATAGTAGGAAAGCTGTGTGGCAGAAATAGTGGCAAGCACAGCAAGTGACAATGATAAAGAATCTTCTCAGTAAAGAAGACCATTATCAACACTGAAAACACAACAGCAAACCTCTGCAGAGCGTGGTCTGCGCAGAACCAGACTCTTTGGATAAAAGAACTCAGATGAGGAATGCTGCCATGAAACAGAAAAAAGGAAAAAGAAGAGTGAAAAGGAAAGCAGTTCCCCAGCCCATTGGTTAAGCTCTTTTTCAGTCAAGTGACAACTTACAAATAACTACTTGCTAGATAACAATCTGTGTGCTATAGTATCTGTTACTTGCTGATCCCTGTAGAATCACGAACAAGCAGATAGCGGAACCTAAGCAATGCATTCTAGTTACGTACAAACAGCTTTACCCTCTACTTGTTTTGACTCAAAAAACCTCCACAGAAAATCCAGTGGGAGGAAAACCTTAATCAACCATCATTTTCCTGAACTCAGTCTGACCAGCTAAAATGCTGATTAGTTTATATCGCAATTCAGTTACTGAGAGAAAACAGAACTGGCTGAAAGCTTATAAAATGACTTCCACAATAAAAGGGCATTTTGTTCTGCTTTGCTCCACAGGGAAAAGGAAATCCAGCAGAGCAAGGATGCCTTGTCAATGGCAGAACCACCCGAAAATAAAGGCCTGCCCCTGAAAGATGTAGTATCTTGTATTTGAGAATTGAGAAATCTCATTCTGATACTCACATCAGGCCTAAAAATTATGCAGTCAAGAAACTCAAGGTGAATCAGGCCACAGGTCATAAACTGAAAAGTGACGTGCTTAAATAGCAGTTTCCCAGTTTCATTTGTTTTCGTACCTACCTGTTTGCTATTGACCTTGTCTAAGTAAGCAGAAATACTTGGCAAAGTCATCTAAATGAACTCAAGTGGTCAAGGGAACGCAAATTGATTTTAAATCAATTAGCACCAAAATAGGTACAGACTCTGCAGTGTAGAGTTGAAGCTAAAAATTCTCAGTCTCTCCAGCTGGCTTCAGCACTGTGAATTTCCAACTTTAAAGGCATGTTAAACATCTGCATGGAAGATCTCCAGGAATAAGGTGACCTTGGATAGCTGTGCAGTGACATCTCTTGTGTTCCCCCTTGATTGTTTTTTCACTTCATTTGTCTTAAGTTTTCTAGAAAAACTCTCTTAGGGAAAAATCTTGCAGGTGGATGAATTCAATTAAAATTACCTGAGAGAGAGGAAGACTCACATGCTTGAATGTCTGATGGGAAAAAGGAGAATATATTTGAAACCTTTGCACGTTTTGTTGGGAAATGGAAATAAGCCAACTGAATTATAAGGTCAGCACTATAGTCAGGAGCTTTGACAAGGCTCTTGGGTCCATGCAAAAGATAGTACTGTCCCCCAGCCACTCACTGCTAAGGCCAAATATTCTGACACTTCTGCTGGGCAAAAGCACTGTCTTACATTCTACTTGTTAAATCGAGAAGGAAATTCAAACTAGCATAAAAAGTACTATGGCAATTACTTAACATTAATAAGGAAACAATCCCATTTTTTTGGAGCTCTCTATATGGCTTCTAATTACTAAGCATTGGCATAAACTGTCTGTCTGCTCCTTGGGAAGTGCAATAACTGTACATCTATTCTGAAAGTAATTCTGTTCTTAAATGATAAAGCTAAAGCTGATTTATGCTGTGATAAGATGGTCACTGAGAAAAGCAGCTGTCAACCATTACACTGGAAGTCAGAACAGGATAACGTGCAAATAGTGGATTGCAATAGTGATGTTTGGTCCTGCTAGATCACATGGTCGCCCACAGCCAGTTCTGCTCCTGTATTATGAATGCAGCCCATGCTAACATGAACTCTGCTCAAGAGAAATATATTAGTACATTACCTACATTCATAGTGAACTCACAGAAAAAGACCTGAATCAATTTTAAAGGACTAGGCTTCCTGTGAATGACCCATAGATAGACCACAACTCAGGATAATTTGTCTATCTCCATGCCAGTACCTCTCATTTTCCTTGGCTGATAGACCTTCTAGCCATTTTCCTTCTATGAAGTCTCTAATATTCTAGTCTCTAATATTCAGAAAAATTAACAGTTCAAAGGCACAACTGAGATATCAAAGTGAGTAAACTGTCCAGAAGGCAAATTAGTGAATATGGGCTTAAAATTGCCTGATGCATGACAAAAGTGCATGAGTGCAGTATTATTCCAATCAAGAATTTGATCCAGAAAGTTCTTGGTATGCTGATGTGATCCCAAGGATGCCAGCCCTTCCTGGCATTCCAATTAGGATCTCTTTAGTTTGTGGTTTATTTGAATAGCAAAGGAGCTAACTGCTGTAAATAACTGCGAAGAACAAGGGATAAGAAGTTATACAGATGTGCAAAAGCACTAGGATGCATCATAGCTCTTGCCCTGTTCACATTTTACTCCACTGCATGATAACTCACATATGATGATCTGTCTTAGAGGCAATGTCATATCTGTGTATCAGTAAATTATATCATCTTTAGGGTAACACACTGAAACTGAAGATGATGAGTTTAAAAACCACACCATTATCTTTGAAGTGCTGCCAAAGTTATTCTGCCAGTGTGGTGACAGCTATGCTATAAAAACCATGAAAATAAAATCACACTTTGTACACAATGTTCAGTTGCTGGGTGTGTAAAATATGCACTGTGTCATTGCCACAAATTCAGCTTACCCGTAGCTTATCTTCAGTCTTAGTGGATTGCTTACAGTCGGGATGCCAGACAGTGGAACCTGGGGGACACAAAGAATGAAAAAAAAAATAAAAAAATCCTTATTTAGAGGAAAGCAGATGATTTCTGGTCATGAGAACTTAGTCTGAAACTTAGAACTTAGTCATGAAAAGAGAATCCCTTCACTGAATCAGACTGTGCGTCTGTGTGAGCCTTTCAGATTCAGTCCTAGCTCATGAGAAATACAAGTGACAAAAAAAAAATCCAAATCCTTGGTCCACCCACAGCAGTCTCTTGCTGGAACTGACAAAGCACTTAGTACAGCTTCTTGATTAAAACTCAAACAGCTGTAAACAGCAAGAAAGGCAGGCAGCACCACCTGGAGGGACTGGAAGATGGAGGGTCCTTCTGGTAAGGATGGAGGCCAAGGGCTATGACAACCTGACCTGGATTCCCCTTATGAACTGCACCATGTGTAAAAATTACAAGTCCACTACTGCTGTTTAAGCCCTGTGATTTCCTTGCACAGTAGTTGTGCTCAGTTACTGTAAAACATTACTCATATCACTTCTTTCCTGCAACTACACAAAATGCAATGGGAAATGTTTATTAGGAGCAAAATAGAAAACTCACAGCACAGCAGTCAGGGCAGTATCTCACCTGCTGCATCAAGCTAATGAAGCCGGAACAACACATGACACAAACTATGTGAAGGTATCTCTCCCAAAATCAGTGTAGTGCATGCAGCACTGGCATACATATTGCTTCTGCGCCCTGCTCTGTAAGGTCAGTGGCATGTGCTGCACTGGCATTTCCACATGGCATGTTCCAGTTTCACATCCTCCCAAAGAGGCAATGTTTCTACTGTCTGTGTTCTAAAACATGGGATTTTTCCTCACATAATAAAAATGTAAATATCTGGCTGTGCCCATGGGCTAGGAAGGGGCACTGCCAACTCTCCCCCAGCACTTTGGAACAGAGAGTAAATTATGGTTACTGCTGGCAAGCTGCTGGCAGAATTTTAGCCAATCTGAAACAGAGCAAAAGCTAATGCTGATTTTTAACACTTTAACTACTGCAGCTGTAGCCAAATTCAGCTTCAATCCAGCAGCCACAAAGCCTTGTGTGACCCTTGTCTGCCTGCAGGAGGGAACTTCACCTTTTCACTCAGTCCACAAAGAAACCAAACAAAGGGCAGCCCAGGTCTCCTGCTGGTGAATGTTATCTCAAGTACAGCCAGAGGACACCCCACCCTTGGAGTCAATGGGAGGGATGGATCAGGGGCGCTGGACACTTCACTCTAATAAGCCTTACATGACCCAGTGTAGAAGCAAAGAGCAGCAGGAATGTTCATTTCCCAGAAGCACACAAGAACATCATCATCAGAAGGCTGGAGAGAACGCTGTGATTCTGGATCAGAGTCTGAGAAGTTTGGCTTCAAGTTTGAGCCGAGGAAGAAGAAACTGTGCATTTGGCAGCAAGGAATGATCGGACAACAGGGGGAAGCATACCGAGAGCTCCTCTGTCAACAAACAGCAGCTTCCGAGCCAGGACCCCACAGTGCCAACAAGATCAGGAGAGAAGCATGGGCTGTGCATTTGCAAGGGGGTTAAACACATCCAAGCACTCAGGAGGAAGCCAGTTCTATTATAAGGCTGATGAAGTGACAGCCAGGTTTAGGTGCAATTCTTAAATTCAGTTGTGTGACCCTGAGAAAAATGTTCCCTGTTCTTCTGTACCTCAGTTTCTTTTCTAAGAAACCATTCCTATTGTCAAAACAAAAAACAAAACAAAACAAAAAAAAAAAAAACACCAACAACCTGCCAGTGTATTTTCAGGCAGCATTCAGCACAAATTAGCTCAATTTTAGGGACACCTCTGGACAAAGGGAACAAGAAATGCAAGAGAGATCTCATGCCATATTTCACAGTGGAACTTTGCCATTGTGAAATTCCTTTCACAAAAAATTTTTGAAATGTGAAATTCTAAAAGCCAAATCAGATAGAATGGGCTTAAGAAGTTAAACGTAACTAATTTTTTTTTTTACAGTGCTGAACTCTGAGCCAACCACAGCTTGTGGATCTTAACCATCCAAAAGGTCAGTGTATTTAAAAAGGTTTGGAACTGCGCAGATTCCCAAGCTGTACAGCTCCTCTTCTTCCTACTGGAAGCAATTCAGCAAATTGTAGCTAATCTCATTCTTAACATATGTTTGTTTGCTCACTTGGCAAACATCAACCAACATGTTCATTTATTCAATTTACCTTGCACATACCACTGATTGAACATACAGTTCTCTAAAAAGCAGTAACTCGATTACACATTGACTAAAGCTGTTTTCCTCTTGCAGGTTTGGCTTTGCACATTTCTATTACAAGCAGTTACCACACTCCTCTATTACACAAAGTAATACCAATATTGCATTTTCATGATCAGCAGAGAATGCAATTAGAAAGGAGAAGGAAGCTTCATATTTACATATATGTAATCAATCGTGCACTTTTTGTTCTAGCTTCAGTGTTGTGGGGCTGTATTTTTATTACAGAGAAGTGCTTGGAAGGCTGTTATTCAGCACCCTAGGGAAAACAATTTGGACAGTCAGCATATCCATTTCAGCTGAGAGCTTTGCTTAGGAAAGACTTTTAGGTCACCTACACTTAAAAGTATGCTGAACCCAGCAAGGAAAGGTTTGGAAGGGCAGTCCCAGCAACAACACTTGGTCAGAAAACAGCTTTATACAATAAAGCAATGCAACTTGTACTGCTCCTCCTGATACAGAGTGAGCATGAAGAACATGAGCTCACAGCCACAGGAGAGGATGCAGCCAAGCAGAGAAGGATGGCAGGTCAAGGAACCAGGAATCTCTCCTCACATAACACCTAAGTAATGCTGGAACACAATCTAGCCTGGTTTAATTAGGAGCAACACCTTCTGTCTTACTGCAATCTGCAGAAATTTACACCACAGCATGACCAGTCATTGTGAATAGTTCACACCAGTTCATGCCTTGCTCTTACTAATGTAATTTCTGAATTAATCTGCTCACCATGTACTCTGTACTTTAGCATTCTGTGATGTGAGGAAACTAAGATTAAAACTTGTCAGGTGTTGCAGTTGCTGTTTTCAAATTAATCTTTCAAATTTGCCATCAGAAAGCAGTACTTCCTACCCAACCCTCTTTCAGCTTCTCCTTGCTTTTGCAAGCAAGCACTGCCATACAACCATATATCTAATTCTGCGCATAGCTGGAGTCAGATGACTCTTTACAAGGTCAGTGAGAGATGAGAAAGATGGACTGCAAGGGAGGACAAGCTATAAAATAACACAAGTCAGCTTCAAAGGAATTTCTTAACAATGTTATCTTATTTTGGAATTCCTCCAGAAGGAATCTCTCCAGTTTTTCAAGAGACACTTTCATCACTTCTTTCTTACTTTTTTACAGTTGTTTCAGGTATATCAAGCAAGTTTTCTAATGCAAACACAATATACAAATTCCTGATATGTAGTTGTCCTTTCGCTTTGATTTCTGGCCTGCATAGATTTACTTCTGCCAACGTTTCTTAATACTACAGCAAGTCAGAAAAAATAAATGTAGCTTAACTGTGTATGTGCTACCTTCTGGGAGAGTAGGTAGGCAGCAAGGCCACCATGATGGACACTACAGTGAAAGAGTCTCAAGTGAAAAAGTATGAGAGCACTGCAATGAAGAAAAGGCCACAGTCCTCCATGAACACATTATACAGGATAGCTATAAACCAGTGAGGTCTAAGACAGAAAAATTACAAAGTCTGATTTTATGGTTTTGTTGTAGAGACATCCTTACCTTGCAGATACATTTCTTCTCCTTCTGTGAACATTTGGTTGCACCTGCTGCATCGTGCACAGCTGGGATGATAATGCTTGTCACCTGCCTAAACAAAAGGGGAATGAGGGATCAATACTTTGCACTGCTTTGTAAGCACTCAACCTGTTGGTGGACCACTGTCATTTTCCCTCTAGTTCACTCATTACAATATAATATTGTCTTGATGACTTGACGCCATGAGTAGCTAAGGGAAACTAACATCTTCCTTGCTGCTTCAATCCAGGGGTCTATTTGGAACAGTATCCTATCCTCAGCAGAAGGCAGCAGTGTCTGTGTGAGATAAAAGGACACAAGACTAGAACAGCCCTTTCTCTGCACACCTTCCCATTCAGGTATTTGCACTTTAAAGACATCCAGGTGAAAGGCTATGTCCCAGTCTATCTATTCTCCCTATTTTGCTCAACATGAACAATACACCACAGTCAGACATTTGTGCAAACCCTCTGCCTCCCCATTCTGCAGACATCATGTATTTTCTCAATCACTCCATTGTTATGGATGAATTTAAGCCACAAATGACAGTTTCCAACCTGCCACTGCATTCCGTGGCCGTTTTCCCAACGCTGCTGATATGAGCATTAATGGGGCGAGAGCTTTCCAGAGCAACTTCTGGGACCATTAACTTAATTCACAAATGCCCAACTTCAGAAGATTCGTGGGTGCACGCAGCTTGAGATGTCTGAACTGTTAATCCAAAGATGCTAACTATCCAGATCCCGTTACACAAATCCAATCCACTGAGTCATTCTGTCTCTTAAATTTTGATGCTCTAAAACTAGGCTGATCATATTACAGGCCTACAAGGACAGGAAAAATGAAGGCACAGACATAATTTTGACTTCTTCTCCTTAGTAGAGCAAAGCAACCAATACAAACTAAGTAGGTGAAGTCCATACTAGGCTTTTTAAAAATGCTAATGAAAATGAAAATAAAATTAAAAAAACCAACACCAACAACATCAGAATAGTGACACCTGCTGGATTCTACAAGGCTTTAAAGATTGCATCTGACTTTCTAACAATTTAACCTTGAATGCTCCTTAACAAAGTATTCCCTGTGGACTGAGATGTCACGTACACAAAACACCTGTATGCAGCATAAGGCTGTGAATATTAGATGAGGTTCAAAGGCAGTCTCCAATTCAGACAGTTCAGCACTCAGCAGGAGCCTATGTGCTTCTCTGCACTTTCTGCCTTGCACAATCAATATCATGTATACAGAGGAATAGGAATTTTATCAGTTTGGTAAAATAATCCCAACTTCTGAGCATTCCTGAAGTTCTTCAGCAAAATGAAGGTCAATGGATCTGTTTGTCAGAAGAAATTTCTAGTGTATTTCATTTAATGAATGCATCAAATTGGACATCCTGGGAACTGCTCCCTGTCAATGAGATATAAAAAATTTCTAACAGGACTGAATCACTGTCAGAGAGCATCCTCTCCAAACAGGAAGGCAGTGACTTAAAAATTCAACTGTGGAAACGTGGAAAAAATTGGAAAAAATAAGAGAAATATTATCAGATAAAGCAGTAGTTAAGATCCAGGAAAAACATATTGGGAAAGCACCAGGGTGTGTGGGCAACCAAAACTGCCATGTATTCACATTTGTACAGCTTCAGCTTCTGTTCTTCCATCCTGGCCTCTGAGATGTGTGTTTTAGGACAGAAGGATGCATCACCCCCATGTTTTAATCAAGTGCTACACTGCATTGCCATAAGCAAAAGCTGTTAATCTTTGGATGATGTGTGGTTACTGTAGCAGTGCCTCAGGCTTCTGATCCTTGTATTCCTTAATTTCCAGTTCATTCACAGCTTTGGCCAGTGATTTCTACCAGAATGATCGATTGATTGATCGGTGAATTACAAAGTACTAGGGAAAACTTCTAAATCATGAAGTATTGAGATATCTGGGCATGAAGGATTCAGATATCTGGTCTTACCCAGCTCTCAGGCTATTAAATTCACATTCAGTAAAGTCAACGGTTGCCCCACACCCAAAAATCCCTTACAGTTACTTTACTGCACAGAATTTGTTAGCTGCACACCAGCTCATGCACCGTGCCCCACAAACCCAGCACAAGCACCTGCACACACAGCTCTCAGCACACAGCCACAGGACTTCAAAGTCAAGCAGTGGCTGGACCAGATGATCTTTGTGGCCTTCTCCAACCTCAGTGATATCCTGTGCACTTTTAGACACCACCTCTTGCCTAACTCTGTCCCTCTACTTCCCACAGGACTAACTTTTATTTTCTGGGGGCTTGCAGAGCTCTAGCCTGATTTAACAAATGTTCTCCTTGGTAAATGTGAGAGCATAAGATTTCCTATTACTCATGCCTTCACTTTTGCCCGCTTTTCAGAACAACAGTGAACAAGAGCCAGAAAAGACAATAACAAGAATCCCACCAGGAGACTCACATGCCAATGGGTCTGGTACAGGAAGAACTAATTACCAACAGACATTTTTATTGGCCAAAAGACACAATTAAGTGCATTTTTGTCGCATTACATTTGCACAGCTGCATTCACTCACTCTCCATTCAAAGATATCTCAGCAATCACCTGACAAGCAGCTATTAAACATGCAGAAAGCTTTTCTAATATCATTCAAACACAAAAAAAAAAAACCCTGCTATGTAGCTTGAAGTGTGCTTTAAAGATTTTTTATAATAAAGAGGTATAACGGCTCTTTGATTGACAAATCTAATCAAAAATTTATTTCCACCGTGACTCGAGGAGGATGACCTGATTTCTGAGCTCTCTCAAGGCCCAAGGAGCAGCACAAAGAATAACTCAGCCTCATCTCCAAACCCCTAACGGAATGCCATGAATTCCTGTAGAACAGGAACTGCAGCAGTAGCTGACCATTTTTCAGTGAAGCTTTATTTTAATTACTCGCAGAGGTCACAGAACCCTTCACCCTGTTTGATGTTGGGGATAATATCAAATTCCATTGTTTCCTTCTCTGCAGGCTCCTGTGATCTCACAGGCGGGTGGAACAGCACAAACACTAGGAAGACCAACATTTGCTTTTAAAAACATCCTGGCCCAAGCTGTCCACTTGCTTTTCCCAGGCTCTTATCTGGCCAGCAAGTCACAAATGTCTGTGCTGAGATACAAAAATAAAAGCGCAGCTCCTCTATTTCCAAAGGACCTCCCAATCTCTACGGATTTGCTCTTGTAGCAATGTCACAGCTGCCCACAGGCCCAGCCCCCAGCAGCCCCTGCCAGCCAGAGCAGAGCAGCGCACGAGGGGACGTGGGAAATGGAGCGTGAGGCCCTGACCCTAAATCTGAGTGACAACTTGCATGCAAGAGACATGGAAGACCCTCAGAGCCTTCCATTGATGGTTGTGCTCTCTCAAGCAAGCCAGAACTGCAGCTGTCCTGCTGCTATGAACGCTTGCACTGTTAATTCAGGCCTGCTTTCTGATTTTCATACAAAAATACTTCCCAGCATCCCAACAGTGACTGCCAGTGTCACGCTATTATATCCTTTAGCAGATAGACAGTGTTAAACTTTGCAATGTATGAGTGTTAATTTCATCAGCATACAGCGTTATTATACACATTAGTCATTAATAATAGCAATGCAATTATTAGTTGCTTAAAATATGATTTCTCCTCAGAGCAAAAACACGAGTTACGATTCTGGCCAAATCACTTCAGGCTAGACAACTGGCATCAGTCCTAGCAGCCGAGTATCAACTGGGCTTACTTTACAGCAAGGTCCCAGCCATCATTTGTGACTGGGCTGTCAGCTCCCACCTTCCTGTTGCATCCAGTGATGTGCAAAGGTGAAATATGCTTAACTACAGATTATATTCCTTATGGCAGCCGTTCATCCTGTCCTTATGGAGCAAATACACATCTTGCTTACACACTACCACAGTAAGAACTTATATAGTCTATACAGAAACAGCAGGAAGTTGATACTGCAAAGAAAGGGATGACACAACTAAGAAAGGTACCCACAGAAGCACAGAGTGACCTGTGAGAGTACTCTGGTCTGTACAGAGAAGCAAAGCAGTAGCAGATACAGGTAAATTACTGATGGCCAGAATTTCTGTCATCTCCATTAGGACCTCAGGTTACATTTATGCATGGAGAAATCTAACCCCATTGACTGACCATGCAGTTAATCAGAGACTATTCAGAGAAAATATACTGGCTGGTATTAAGATCTGTGTATATCCTGCAAAGAAGCAGAACTGTTGAATGCACGGTGCAGCATTCACTATGTATTGTTTTGTAGTGGATGGCCATGGGAATTGATGGCCTCCTAACTAGTCTTGGTCTTCTCACTACTTGGCAATGCCAAGTTTCTCATTTTTGATACTGTTTACTGGACAAGATTTTTTTAAATTATTGTTTGCTATGAGTCTACACTTATAAATTAAGAGACTCAAACAATTAGTACTAGAGAGTCTTAAAAGATAGATATACAGCTAGGCATTTGTCTGACAGATGGATGTGTTAGCAGGGGAGAGATACCTTGGGGCTGACTTCCTCCTACCCGCAGCATGAGGTACCTCTGCTGCTGGCCCAGACAAGAAGATGAACCCTTTCCTTGCAAATCTGCGGATGACTCAATGCTTGTTTTGCTATCTGAATCCAACAAGTATGCTTGAATAGCCTAATGTAATATAGAACGCCTGCAAATCAAGCAAACAGGACCCTGGGAGATTGAAAGCCATGCTGTGGGCAATAGGCACTGAGGGAGGCAGCTGGAGGACATCATTAGTAACAAACATCCCAGAAAAAACTCTCAGGGTATCTGACACAGCCAGTTCTTCTGATCATTTGTTGTATACAAAGAATATAAAGGCAAAGCAGAAGAGAGGTTCTGCTTCTGATTACATACTGCACTGTCACTATTTTAATACTACCAAGTGGGCACGTGGAGCTACAGAATAGGAACAACGTGAGCTGTGAACTAGAAGGACTCAGAACCCACCACTGCTCTGAGAAGCTTCAAGTGACTGGATCACAATGGAAAAGTAATTAAAAGCAAAAAGAGATAATAGCAGGAAAGAGAATGAGCTTTTT